CATCGGGGGCCTGGGGGCCATGCTCGGCCTGGTCCTCTGGCGCAGGGCGGCGCTGCGCGTCCGCGCCGTCCCCGCGGCGGGGACGGGGACGGGGTGGGGCCCCGGCCCGGCCCGGCCGCGGGCGGATGCGCCGGCTGGAGTGCCAGTGCAGCCGGCGCCCGCACAACCGGCGCCCGCACGACCGGCGCCCGCGCAGCCGCAGCCCGCGCAGCAGGCGCCTGTGCAGCTAGCGCCCGTGCGGCCGGCTGGAGCAGCCCAGCATGCGGCGCTGCGGGAGCAGCTGGCTGCGGCGGCTGAGCTGCGCGAGCGGGGACTCCAATCGCCGGCGCCTGCGCCGCCGTCGCAGGGCGAGCGCCCAGGCCCCGTCGCCGCGGATCCCCAGGCTCCACGATAGCAGGAAACATGGGAGTGAAGTGCAGCGTGTGCGAGCTCGGCACCCCAGTGTGCTGTGCTGGTCGATGTACAGTGAAGTTTGGCGCCAACCTGTTACGGAGTAGGGCAAGGAGCTCGCGCGCGCACGTCCCATCGCGCAAGTAATATCATCGGTAGCAGCTCTGAGAATGGGTCGATTTCAGCGAGTAACGGAAAATACGTTTCAAACAAAATGGAAGTCCACCTCACGACGATCTAGTGCAAGACGCCCCGGGGGGGGGGTGAGGGGCATGAGGAACACACTCCCCAGTCGGGGAGGGCAAAGCCTGGCAGGGAACGCTAATCGACACCCTGCAATTACATTTGCTGCGTTGATGGCTACTGTTATCCTCTGTCGAAGGTGCGAGAGACTCGTTTTCATCCATGGCTCGTCCATGCGGCCCGAATCTGGCCACTGAACCACCAACCTCCTCGGCCTGCAGGCTGTGGTCCGACACCTTCGAAATCAGGCATCTGGTGAGTGTAACGACTCCAGTTTGTGTGCGGAATGTCACATGTCGTGTGCCAGGGCCAACCTCCATCGGAAGCTGATTGCCGAAGCTCGGCACACACATTCCCCTTCACCGATGCAGAGAGAGAGACTGAGTGAGGCACACGGCGGGCACTCACTTCTTCAGCCTCATGCCGAATCACAAGATGTACAACCCCGGGAGACGCAGCAGATATTGCACTGGAGTGTACGGGCAGACTCAGGGGATGCACCCCCATTGACGGGACCCAGACTGGAGAATGTGCATCTGGCCCCAAACCAGCCCCAGTTCCATGTTCAGCTGAATGAAGTGGAGGAGGGCAGAGTTCACGGCTGGGCATGTTTGCGTAACAGCCCCTCTGCATCTATTCAGGTGGGATGCAATCCCCGGAGAGAGCCAGGGATTGAGGGTGCCCAGGATGTGCGCCCTGGCTCTGTTGAGATGACCATGCATGCAGGAACAGGCTGCACCACAGTCCATGTGTCATGGTGTGCAAAATTAAAGCAGGAGACCCCCCGTCATGCAGGTGGCGGCGTATGTCAACGGCATCCTGGCTGCTCAAGGGGGGGCAGGCCAAGCAGCGCCCGTCCATGCCGCTGTGCTTGGGCTGTGTGGGCTGAGTCCCGGGACCAAGCACTTCTCCAACGGCTTTTCCATAGCGCTCCCACGCCTGCCCACCGGCGTGCACGAGGTATGCAGGTCACCCAGGCATCCTGCTCTGCATAGGGGCCCATGCGCGGCAGCCTGCCCCTCCCCATCCCATGCCGCTCTCTCACCTCCCTCCCACCGCAGCTGCGTGTGCTGGCGTCGCTAGACAACTCCACTTGGCAGGAGGCCAACGCCAGCCCCATGCTGTTTGAGGAGAGCACGGCGCACCCGGATGCCAAGGCCGCGCTGGCCAGGAAGGATGCCATCATCCTGCAGCGAAATGCGCAGCTGGCGGCGCTCTGGGCGGAGCGCGCCGAGATGGGCCCCTGGCAGGACAGGCCGCGCGGCAAGGGCCCCGAAGGGGTGGCGTCGGCGGTGGAGAAGCCGGGCAATGCTACCAACCTAGTCGTCATCGCCGTCAACACGGTCGGTGTGGCTTGCTGCTGTTGGCGGGCGGGAGTAGGGGTGTCAAGTGGGGATGGGGTAGGAAAGCATTAAGAAAGGAGGACATCAGGATTGTCTGAGCCTCATTCTAGCCCATGTGGGTGCAAGAGGGGCCCTGCTTGGGCCTGTACGAGTGTGGAGGCGAGCCTGAGGGACCCTGCGCAATGCATGGCAGCCTGTGCCCACACCCTTCAAGAAGCTCCCACCCTGGCCCCTCTGGATGCCAATATCCTCACCTGCCGTCCCTGGTCGTATAATGAGTGCCAGGCACACAGCACGCCGCAGCACGTCCCACCCCTCTCCCCCACCATCTCTCAGGGGCTGGGATCGCGGGATCGTCGGGACATCCTGCGCCGCACCTGGTTCCCCAAGGGTACTGAGCTGGCCGCCTGGGAGGCCAGGGGCGTGATGGTCCGCTTCGTGGTGGGCACCTCCGTCCAGGCCAACGACCCGCTGGCCGAGGCGATGCGCACCGAGGCCCGCGAGTTTGGCGACGTGGTGGAGATGCCCGAAGTCATCGACACCTACGGCGGTGAGGAGCGCGGGGCTGGGCGAGGGGCTTTCGGCGCTGGGCCTGCTGGGTGGTAGGTAGAAGGAGCAGAGTCCCTCCGTCCCCGCGCGACGGGGCTCATCTGCACCTCCCCTGGGCATGCTTAGCCCCACGTGCAAGTACAAGGGTGACTGTCTGACACCCAACACCCCTCCTCCCTCCTGCCCCCAGACCTCTCGCTGAAGACGCAGCACCTGTTCACCACGATGCTATCGCTTTGGGACGCCGATTTTTATTTCAAGGTCGACGATGACGTGGCGCTGAACCTGGAGGCCTTATCTGACTACCTGACGGCCCGCAGGATGAAGAAGAACCTCTACCTGGTGAGGGCTGGGAGTCCTGCCGAGGGTGGGAGCCTGGGTTGGAGGTTTGTGTGAAGGTTAGGCGAAATTTTTGGTTCGAGTGCTGTCTAGGGTAGCCGGATGTGGAAGGATGAGCTGCTTGGGCAGTGCCGCAGACGGCAGCCGACTGCCCACTTGCCCCTGTCTCCCACCACCTCTTGCGCCCTGGCCCTTCTGCTGCGGCAGGGATGCATGAAGTCTGGTCAGGTGCTGACAGACAGCAAGTGGAAGTGGTATGAGCCGGAACACTGGCGGTTTGGAGACGCCCTGGGACCCCACGGCATCAACTACATGCGGCACGCCACAGGTAGGTTTGCGGCCGGCTGCTGGCCTGCAAGGCTAGGCAAACCCGGCGTTTGGTGTGCTCTGTAGTACTCCATCGACCACTTGCATCTAGGGTGCTTGAGCAGCTCTGGATTTCTGCCCTGCCCAAATCTCAGCTGCCCATATTTGGCATCCTAGACCTCAACACCTCTCAACCTCTCAACCCAGGGTGAAAACTACATCACTCCCTCCCTCACCCCCCCTTGCGCAGGTCAAGCATATGGGCTGTCCCGGCCCGTGGCGCAGTACATAGCCAGGAACGCGCACATCCTGCACCGCTATGCGAACGAGGACGTGTCGGTGGGGGCCTGGATGCTGGGCCTGGAGGTTGAGCTGGTGCACGACCTGCTGCTGTGCTGCAGCAGCGCCGCACAGTGCCGGGAGCAGACCACGCCAGAGAAGCGGTGTCTGGTGTTCTCCGAGGTCACCTGCGCGGGGATCTGCCAGGCCGAGACCAGGCTGGAGCCTATCTGGAAGAGCTGCTTGGAGAAGCCGTATGAGGCCGTCACCCTGGCTACCTTTGACCAGACCGAGACCAGCACTGCCTGAGGTTGGTCCGAGCACTGGGGCCATTCATATCATTGAGGCTGCAAGCTGTACATACCGCAAAGAAGCCAGTGGGGAGGGGAGCCTGTGGCCAGTGCTGCTGGGTCGGCCTCACACACAGGCAACAGTTCTGGGGTATTGCACCCAAAGAGCCTCCGGGAGAGGGGCCAGCAGTTGGGACGAGGCATGCTTGTGCCATTTGGTCATCTACAGAGTTCGTCCGCCAAAGGGGTAAGGCCGTGCATCCTGGCATCCAAGACCTTGATGCACACACGTGTGAACTCGCCCCTTCAAGATTCCCCATCAACTGCTGAGATTGGTCACTCTGAAGCTAGAAAACATTGTCGAGGGGGTGGAAGCAGCAGCCAAGCTCAGGGTCAGCACACCTCGCTGGGCCAGGCTTTTAGAATAATCGGTAGCAAGACTGAGGGAACAAAGACGAGCCATGGAAGTCAAGGTGAGTTGTGGTTTCATGAAGAGTATATGCTGCTTCTTAGATCGGTGCAGGCATGGTGGCAGCCATGGAAAACCTTCCTACTCATTCAAGTGAGCAGCTTGGCCTTCAGCAAGTGCTGCTAGTACTGCGCGTGACAGGTCTCCAAACAGCTTACGAAGGAGCGCATCTTCCTCCGGGAGTAACTCTTGCGGGAAGTGCAGGCTAGAGCACGGCAAGGGGAAGCTCGCCAGCTCGGGTCGGGAGATGACCCTTGCAACCCATCGACACTAGAACTCCGGGTGCGAGAGTAAGAATGGCTTCATCGGCTGTTATGCGTTTTTTAATGCATTATAACCCTCTTCAATCCATTATTGAACCAGGGCTGCTGATGTTGGATGACCAGCGCCTGGTCGGAGTCATGTCGCTGTCTGTTGAGAGTCCGGTAAAATGATCAGTTGCGGCGGGAAGTCTGGGACAGTGCCACACAGTTCCGCTCTTGGCGCAGCCACATGATGGCCTCGAAAACCCTCAATGACCTCCAAGCCGATACTTTGTGATCAAAACTACACGTTCCGGTCGTCAGCCGCAGTACGTTGTCGAAGTGTGCCCTCGGGCTCCGGGCACCGGAGGCACCCTCGAGGAATCCCCCGCACTTCCCTCCTGAACCCTCGAGGGATGCTCGAGGCGTGCCCATTGTATAATTAATGTATGCTCACTGGCTCCAGCGAGCTGTCTAGGGTCTTGCTCGAGGGATTGAGGCGTCCGACGACAGAGCCATGAGCGAACAGGATTCACCCGTGTTTCCGCCCAACTTCTTCGAGAGCTGCCCATGGAGCATCCAAAACGATTTCCAATCTCTGAAGGAGGTTGGGAAGGGCAAGTAAGTGAGGGGGTACCTCACTTGAGAGACTGGAGCTCGGGGCATCGACGCTTTCGTGCCCAACCGACCCTGTAACCCATGTGCTCCATGCAGGGACACAGTGATCTACAGCGCAGTGTGTCTGCCCCTGGGAAACAAGATTGTGGCCGTCAAGATCTACGACAAGTCCCGCCTGGCCTCTACGAAAGTTAGAGCCATCAAGCGAGAAGTGGCCATGATGCTATACTTTATGCGGCACAGGTGACATGGGTGCTGGCATGCGAAAGCAAGCGACAGCCTCTAACCACGGCGCTGCACGAGTGCGACTGCATGGGGGAGGACGGTGATGCATGCATGTTGCACTGATGTGCAGGTCCTTTCCTCGATATGAGACGCAGGTACCCCAACGTCGTGGAATTATATGGAGCCTTTGAGGACGAGTCACGCTACTTCATCGTCATGGAGTACTGCTCAGGTGCGCCTGCGGCATCGACATCAGATCGACGCCCTTTCAGATGCCCGGGACCCACCGTGTAAGGAATTCTCTCTGCACTGCACTGCACTGCACTGCAGGGGGGGACCTCCTTGAGAAGCTGCTGCGGGAGAAAAAGGCCATCAGCGAGAGGCGTGTGGCGACCATGGTGGCCATCCCCTGCCTCGTCACCCTCAGGTGCTTGCATGCCGCAAGCATCATTCACAGGTACTGTGAGGACAGACGCCAGAGCGGGACTGCTTGAGGGGAGTCAAAGCAAGCTGAACGAAGGGTGCAAGACATAATAGCCAAGCCAAGTCCTGCTCATTCGCACCAGGGACATAAAGCTTGAGAACATATTTTTGGACAATAGCGGCCGTGTCAAGCTTGGGGATTTTGGGTGAGTGTATTGAGAAGCTTCGGGTCCGGACGGTGGGCTCATTTCAGGACAGATTCAGTCACTGGATGAAGTGGCTGGTACATCTGCTGGATCAGTTTATTGCCCTAAGATTTGAGCCAGAGCATCAGGTGATTCATCTGCCAATGCAGGTTGACGATGTGCACCCGACAGGAGGCAGCCATATCCCCAGTTGGCACCGTAGAGTACATGGCTCCGGAGGTGCGCAAGCTGGCTGCTGTGGACATGTGCTGTGTCAACGACGTCCCTTCCCAAGGGTTACAATCCACAGCAATGCCTGACGCGTCCCTCGACCCCTGTGCCCTGATGTCAGGTGATCGCTCTGCCGCCCGTGGATGCCGTGGTGAGCGGCCAAGTCCGGGCGAGTGAGATCCCACCAAACACAGAGAAGGTCGACATCTGGGCACTGGGCGTCACATTCTTTGAGCTCGTCACTGGTGAGTGGGCGGGCTGCAGGTTGGCAGGCATGTCGCATTATTGCCTCCACTCCAAGGCTCACACGCTGTCCAGCAGCAGGCTTCATTCTCAGCCCAAGTGTGCCAGGTGCTCATGATCCCCACTCAAGCAGGTCGTCTGCCTTTTGAAGGCAAGGACAAGCTGGAGATCAAGACCAACATCACTGAATACAGAATGTCAGGTTTTGGTCCGCATGTCTCCGCCCAGGTGAAGAATGCTGGCATTGCTGCAGATCTTTCTGCGCACACCAACTGTATAGAGACTGGGCAAGGGGATGTCTGCCAAGGGTGGGACAGGCCTGAATGGCAGCAAGTTGCCTTTGCGCGCTTCCCCGCCGTCCTCCATCCGTTTCTCATCAGAGCCTGCATTCGCGCGGCCTCCCTCCCACAGTGCCAAGATCTGATCCGGAGCATGCTGGCCTATGACCCGGCGGATCGACCCTCCGCTGAGGAGCTCCTCCAGCACTCCTTCCTAGCCCTGTACAGAAATAAGGTCAAGCTCAGCACAGCAGCTACGCAGTCCCCATCCTTCTCTCTCCAAGCCTTCACTCCAGGTGCTGGCAGTGTCGTCGCGTCATGCCAGTGCAGCGCTACCGCTGGTTGCATGGCGGGAGGTCAGAAGTGCGCGATGTGCCTCAGGCGTCAAGAGATCAGTTGTATATCCACCATGCCTGTCCCCACTCCTACACAGGGGTGGCTATGTCTCCCACCAGCAATGGCGCACCAGCCGACTCGGTGTCCGAGGTGCGCGATTCGTCCTTCGTTGGGTGGTACCTTTGTGAGCCCATCTCCCTGGCAGAAGGCTCGCAGCGTCCCTCCTGCCCGGCCCTGCTGTTCCGCATGCCTGCTGTGATCACCCAAGCCATCTCACACGACCGAGCAGGGTGCGGCCCCAGCCTTCGAAAGCAGCCTCGGGGGAAGCAGCTCGCCGGGGCCCAGTGTGCGCTTGGGCCGGCTGAAGTCCTGGAGTCGCGCCAGCAGCACCGTGAGCAGCAAGGCAGGCCGTTGGGAGGAAAGGGGGGCATGACAAGGTGCATGGGCAGGGGTGTGTGCCCAGTCATCCAGGATGGAGTTCACTTGAGTTGCGGCTTGCATGTTTCACTCAGCCCGGGGCGGGTGTTTGCCCCTTCCGGCCCACAGGGCAGCGCTGCTCATCAGGGTGTGGCAGGCCCCCAGAACATCGTCGCGGGCCCCACACGGCGTGTACTTTCCTGGACGATGGCCAAACCGCCGCCCGAGGAGCAGGGTCAAGGCATCCCGGACGCCAAGTCTAGCATGGTTCAGGTGGGTCGATGGAGGGGCTTCACCTCTGGCTCACCTGAGAGCTTCTGAGCTCAACTCAGGATGCGCACATCCACCCGTCTCACCAGGGGCCGTGATTTCCGGATGGGGATGAGGAACAGGAGTGTACGACCCCACGCCTTGCTGCCACTCTTGCAGGAGGTTAGGCAAGCCGTCAAACGAATTTTCAGTAGAAAAAGTACATTGGGTCGAGGCGCGGAGATTGGCATTGGCCATCTGTGATCATGAACAGCAGCACAAGAAGAGAGAAGTGAGGAACCGCGCAATCCGCCATCGTTGAGGCTACCCCTTCACACTGTCATTGTCTGGCGTCCCTGACCCCCAGCTTGGGCGACGGAGCCCTCAAACCTGCAAAGCATCATGTACCCGTTGACATTCCCTGCGATGAATTCCTTCTGTCATTGGTGTTTGACCTCGCTGACTCTCCCATTCACCTTGCTCCAAATTAGTTGCATCATCCTGCACTACCTGCAACACCAGATGTAGATACCGATCATGCCCAGAAGGGAGGGTCAAGTGCCTTCTTGCATGTTCTCACATCAGTAGGATGGCCCAAAAGGGCAAATTTAGCCGATCGCTCCACTATGGGCGCGATACTCGAGCTCCAGGTGGGTGGCAAGGACCTTCACCGCCTGATCCTCGGGGACCATGGCTCGAATGCTGCGCTGGATGCCGATCAAGAAGTTCAGCCACCGGGAAAGAGCCTGGCCGGGCAGGTCGCCCCTGATGAGATCGGGCCAGAGGAGAAGGTCGCAGGTGGCGAGCAGGAGCTCGAGGGTGTGCATGCCATACTCGTTGGGGCCCTGTGGAATGGCATCTCCGCTTGTGGCTTGTCCGACCAGCTGCCGTGGGGATGCAAACCTGTTGGCAAGGGGAGCGCGGGAGCATGGCAAGTGAACCTCCAGGGTGGCTCCCTGCAAGACCATCCCTTACACCGTGTTAGGGATCCGACCCACACAGGTGGCTGCATGGCATGACATTTCCCCTGGACCTCCACCATTGCCCACCAGCCGCCCCTGCATCCCCACGCATGCCCTCACCAGGGTTGCAGGCAGACCACAGAGCTTGCAGTGGAGGTTGCTGTCACAGGCGCCGCTGCAGCATGTCCAGGGACGAGGGATCCCAGCAGGGCCCCTCCCACGTGCAGCCGCAGCCTCTGCCCCCGTGGCGTGAATGGCAGCAGCCTCAGCACGTCCAGACACGCCTGAGGACTAGGGGCACGACGGACCAGCCTTCCGGCCAGGCCGCGCAGTGATGCTCCCACATGTTCAGCCCACTCCGCCTCGCTGAAGGCCTCGAGGAAGAGGGGCAGCGCGGCGTTGATTGCGCCGCCCAATGCCGGTGCCGCCGCATCCACGAGGAGGGCACAACAGGCCTGTATCCAGGTAACCAGGTCCCCGGCTGGCACAGCGCCGTTGTCCTGCCGCTGTCTCATAGAGCGTTGTTGAGCTACATGGCCGGCCAGGCGCAGCAGCAGCTTCACTGTGTAGACCTGCAGCTCCGAGGGCGAATCCTCGCCACTATCGTCGGACTGGCGGGCTGTGGGACCATCTGAGCTTGCCCCCATCTTGCGATCGAAATGGTAGCCTGTGGCCTCGAGCGCGACCATCAGCTCTTGCAAGGACGGCAGCTGGAAGGCTGGTGGCCTGGATGCTGATGGATCTGGAGCATCGGACAGAGGGCAGCACGTACGGTAGGCTGAGTCTGCATGAATTCCATTCGATGTGTCGCCCGTGAGCATGGCGCAGGCAGCGCCTCTCACGGCAGCGCTGGGGGCGCCGAGCACTTGCCTCACCAGAGCCTCTGCATCGGCCTGACTCGTGATCAGGCTGCGCAAGTATCAATTGGAAAGGGGGGGAATGAAAAACTGAGCGTCAGGGTGGGAAGGGAGGGGAGGGTTCTGCATGACAGCAGCCAGAGCCCAGATCAACCAGCCACAGTCCAATACTTACCCCTGACTACCAGGCCCCACTCCGCCCATCATCGTTGCCCAGCTCGCAGCCGAGGCCAGAAGTGCAGGCCTATCTTCCCCCAGCCCATCCAGGTGGAGCTGAAGGCCGAGAAGCGACGTGGCATGCTGCACTGCGGCGGCGTAGCTCGGGGGGATCGCCTCCCTGCCGGGCCCGGGTCCCCCAAGGGGGGGGACGGCAAAGAGTACTTGCCTGACAGTCGCCGGAGCAGCCTGACCGAGGCCGGCTCCGCGGCGCAGGGATACTTCCAGTTGGGGGAGTGGGTCGGCAAGTGCCCTCTGAGGAGGGCACCCCGGCCTCCAACAGGGCCGAATTCTCCTCCTGCTTGACAACCCAGCGACGATGGGTAGCAGCTGCTTTTACGGCCTCCTCCATGGCCGCACTCCTGCGCATGAGCGCCTCCAGCTTGGCCCCATGCCTGGCAAGGTGGATGGGACAAACCTTAGGCCAGGCAGTTCACACAGGACACACACTATTGTGTAATGGAATGGGTGTGAGAGTGTGCAGGTCATCAGGGGCTTGAAAGATTCTACTCACTCTGGCAAGGGAGCCCTCGCGGCCATCAACATCGCCGGTTAGGGAAGTGCAGATGTTTGCAGAGCGGTGGTCGGACAGCACCTCTGCCTACAGACAATCAGACGCTCCATCAGCCTTCGGAGGATGCGGGCCCTGGTGAGCGAGGCGATTGTCCTGTACATGTGCAAGGAGATGATTCAGCTCATTCCCCCGGACTTTCTTGCCACCCAGTCATCACAAAGTGCAGAGTCGGGGCCACTGTGGGTTCAAGCTGGGGAAATCATACAGTTCCGTCGGGGCATGCGGTGCATGCTCTGAATAGCAAACGCGATTCAAAACCCTCCCGCTCAGTCAATTGTCCGTTTGCTGCTGACCGAGTCTGATCTGCTCAAACCAGTCCCAACGCAGTTTCCTGCACCATTACCTCGACATCGCTGCCATGAAGCGAGGCGTCATTCCCGGGGCGCAGTGCTGCCCCCATCGGTCCAAGGACGGCGAGCGCGCACCCAAGCGAGAAAAAATGTGGGTGCGCTGCATCCGACATGGACATCATGCAATGGTGCATTCGTGAGACTTCAAACCGCTGATCGATCAGACCCTTTCCTTCGGCTCGCAGACCCACCATGGACTACGGCTTGACCAGCCACCTGCCTCATCCCAAGGACTCGATGACCACCATCGATGAAGGCCCCTCCCACAGCGCCCCCAGCCCCAAGCGCGTGGTGCCCATCCCGGAGATGCCTCTCAGCCCCTTTGCGCGCGCCCCTCTCCGTCCTGCTGAGACTGATGACTTCATGAGCCCACCTTCCACCAAGCAGGGCGTGTGTCAACACACCATGCGCACCCCACCCTCCCTCCTGCCCACACCTCCCATCAAGACCGCCCCTTGTCCCCTGGGACCCACTCCTAGCTTCAGCAGCTGGATGTTGGATGCCTCAAGCGCCGTCTCGGCCCCAAACCCCTCCTCTCTGAGAGACGTCATCGCTTGCTTGCCAGGCCAGGCGAGCCGCAATCCCCCACGCCCCCAGGAAAGTCCTTCCGCCCTAGATCGCTTGCTGGCCGACCCGGCTCTGGACGATCTCGACTACGGTCAAAGAGTTGCAGCCTGGGATAAGGGCGAGCAGGCCGTGGTGCCGTCAAGAACGGGGCGAGGGCACAAGCCTACAAGCCCTCGATCTCATACAGCAGTGTCCATGCGCCTTGCTTTCTAGGAAGTTTGGCCCAAGTCTTTGCCAGCTTGTAGTATAACCCACGCATGATGTTGGGTCTTGGATGGTAGCTTATTCCTTCAAGCTCCATTGCTCTTGTGCCTGCTCTTCCCATGTAGTTTACCCAGCGCGCTGTATCTCGTTCGCCCTCCAAGCTCTGTCGCAGTGTGCGATGGAGCTCATCTGCAATCCCTGTCCTCATGCTGCAGCATTCCTGTATCATGGTACAGACCCTTGGCCGTTCAAGCACGCCTTTTCAGGACGAATCGCACAACAAGGGTCACGGCCAGGACGCTCCCAGCCAAAGCTCCCAGCTTGATGAGCCGCCGGCGTAACGGGCGGTCGGGGGGAAGCTCCATCAGCGCCTCGATGTCGATAGCCGATTCCCAGTTCTCGCTGGTAAGGGGGGGGTGGAGCCGGCATGTTGTTGAAACAGATCAAGCAGTTCAAAAGTTACCCAGAAACCATGTTGGCAGAGGCTTGCACCCACAAAACACACGAACGCGGGCTTGCAGAGTTTTCACGTCCGTCCCTCATCAAATGCTGACCATAAGAATCCGAGATTTGCTTCGAGGCTGCCCTCCTAACTCCGACACCGGCACCAGCCTCTCACAAAGTAAACTAAATACCCAGGCCAGCATGCCTCCTCACGCTGCACCTCACCGGATGCCTTGCAAATGTCCTGCTCCTACCACCGCCACCACAGAAGACGCATGTGCCGCGAGCTTTCGCATCATGTACACCATGTAGAGGTTGCGCTCGGTCAGGAGCGGCCCAATCATTCCTGGGTACTCCTTCCCAAACTCCAGGATTGCCTCTGTCAGGACGTCGGCCTCCTGCAGGGTATGTGGAAGTGGCATGCCAGCTGAATGGCACATGCCATACATCCGAGTAGACCATGGCCTGTCGCGGCCGAGGGCCAGAGCCCCGTCAGGGCACTGAACGCTGCCGCCCCCACTCCTGGCGCCGCCCCCCCTTCTGCCGCCTTCCCTTGCGCCACTCCTTTTCACCTTCATGGATTCTATCTCTTTGGTGAGAGCCTCGGCATCCAGCATGCTGAATCCAGTCCACGTCAGGTTCTTGACCAGCGACAGCTTCTCCCAGATGGAAAGGCCCCCCCACACGCGTGCAAGGGTCACAGAAACAAGTCGATCGCCTAGCACCACCTGGTGAGATGTGTGAGGGGATTGGGGAGAGGATGCAGTCCAAAAAGTCAGGCCTGGGCACAGTTTCATGGGCGTGTGAGTTCGAACCCTGGCCTCCGGCTGGATGCCTACCTTGGCCCCAACTTGCTGTGCTGATCGCAGCGCCACCCTAAACTCCTCCCCAGGCTTGATCTCAAGGTTGGTTGCCACTTTGGCTAGCAACCAGGAGTACAGGGCCTGGAAGGGCGTGCTCTTTCCTGACCGTATCGCAGCAACGGCTGCCCCGAAATTTGGTTCCTGTGGGTTTGGGAGGATAGTACTCGCATCTCCACCAACTGTCCTCGCTGCCTTGCATGGCAGCGGTGGTGCACCTAGAGATTATCAAACCACCCAGGCTCTGAACTGCATGTCTTAAAGCTCCCCATAGCCCTACCTCAAACTTGTCCAGGGAGAGGATGGAGATGCGCTCGTTGCAAAGCTCCAAAAGCACGAAATCTGGGCGCACCCTTGCAATCAGGTCTGCTGCATCGCGGCAGGATTGCATGCTCACGTGAGCTGTTCCCAGTACATAAAATTTGGTCTCCGCGTTGCTTGCGTTCTGGGGATCTCTGTATTTCAGGATCTCTAATGGACGCGGCAGTTCCTCGGCCTTGATGATGTCCCGGCCATTCTCAGGCTCGCTTGCCATTGAGACTGCTGTGTGCGACAGTCGTAGGCCTCCACCTCCTAGCTTGAAATTGTGGTTGCTGCGAGCCGAAAGGATGATATTATTGTCGTTGTATCAATGATTAAAAAGCGACACCCAAGGATCCTCGACGCGTTGTGCCAAGGTCCCTTTGCGACAAACCCCTCCCTCCTCCGGGAGAGATCCGATGCTGGCATAGCTCCTGGCAGGGCAGGGCGCGCGGATCCGAAATATTGCCCCGACGAGTAAAGCTGTCGTACCTGCTGAATATTCGGGGAGGTTGCCAATATGTTGATGACTGTTTTATTGCTCTGAGAGCATGCTGCTCTACGACGCCTGAACTGGAAGAGGGCTTCCCGGCCCCTCTGTGCTTTCCTGGACATGGCAGATGACGATGATGAATATGTACCGCTTCTGGAGGAGGAAGATTCGGAGAATGAGACGTCTGCGAGAGAAGCCATGGATGTTGAAGACTATGCAACAGCAGTGCAGCGGGACGAAGAAGATTATCTCAGAGGGCTCACAACAGGTGTGCAATGTTGCTGCATGAGGGAGTGAGTCTACTGGTACTGAAGCCCAGGGGCACGCTGACATTCCCACTCTTCCAAATTCATAGGAGAAGATGATGATGATGAAGCGGTGTCGACGTTGTTTGAGGACGCCCTCGGCCCTGAGGCACTGCTTGCTGGGCTGGAAGAGGCTGCTGGACAGGCTGGCCGGCAGGCGTATGAACTCTTGTCACGAGCTGGGCGACGGAATGCTGCGACCAGGAGGCTCCGCCAGGCATGTTGAGCAAGGGGTGGCTTCAAGTATGGGGATTTTGCCAATGTCATGGTTATCCAGTGTCCATCGGGTCTGGTCTTGCATAGTATTGATTACCAATGTAACTAAGCATCCCCAGCACCCTGACGTTCTGTCGATGATTGCCCATATTTAGGATCCAGAGCCTGCCTCGTCCTCATCTGCGGATGAGGAAGTGGATGGATCAGGTCCTTCCAGGAGTCGTGCAAAAGCCACGGCTCTATTTGGGGCTGGTGTCGAGGACATATGGTGGGTGGGGGTGGTGCGGCCCTGGCCTTAGCCATGTGTCAAATACAAGCTTGCCCTAGTACGGAGAACCACAGTACTGTCCAATGCGGAACACCGAATACAATGCGAGAATCCTCGGCGCTCCTGCCACAGGGCCGCTGACCAGTATCCAGCAGGACGAAAAAAGGAAACGCGCGTGAGGAAGAAAGGTCGGGGACAGGGCAGGTGAGGATACAGGAGGTCTTGAGGTTCCACAGCAGAGCGTTTCTCATCCCGTTGAAAGAAGATGCACCGCTGCACATCTGACGGTAGCCATTCTCTCATTGGCGCTTGTGCAGATCGCGCAGGCGGCGGAACAAGATCTCAGAGGAGGTTGCGGCCTTGATGGCGGAAGCAAACATGCTATATGTCAACAATGAGTGAGTCCCAGGTCCATTCATAGGTTTCTTTGTTGGCAGCCTTGATTTGCCAGGATTCGGCAGTAGAGGTGGGAGTGGCATCAGACGCTGCGCTCTCCTTCACAGCACAGAGCATAATGTTGCAACGCACCCCCCATACTTGTTCACCAGGCGCCCAGTTGAGGCCATCGCCAAGCTGATGGAGGTCATACGCCAGGAGCCAAACCTGCCAGATCCCTACCATCTGCTTGGAATGCTGCACGAGTCTGTCGGCAATCACAAGAAGGGTCTCGACTTTTACATGATCGCAGCGCACCTTACCCCTAAGGTCTATGGATTGCGGGCTGGCATGTATGCAGACATGCTGAGACAACACGATCCGCAAAGGTTTCAACGCAGGGGCCACACGACCACACTGCATCATCCTCTCGACAGGATCTTGAGCTTTGGCGCCGTTTGGCCACGCTGTCAAGTGATCAAGGACTCTTGCGGCAGGCTGTGTACTGCTTGTCCCAGGTGAGGACGTCTGGAGGACCTGGGAGGTGTATGCGCACAGGACGAGCCGGTGCATGTAGGCCATTGTGCTCAAAGCAGCCATGGTGTATGACACGCCTGATCTGAAGGTCGCCCCGCGATGCAAGTCAGTTTCTTATCCGTACAGGTTCTTCGGAGGGACAGGGGGAACCTGAGCGCCCGATTCGACAGGGCTCTGCTGTTTGCAGACCTTGGAGAAGTCCGAAGGGTAGGCGAAGGTGCTGCTGGACACAAGCCAACCTGCAGCACAAAGCTTACGGCCTGCTTGTGGACTTTTGCTGCAATCCGGACGTGATCTCCCACCCATTCCCATCCCTGTCCTACCTTTTTGCACAGGCGCTGGAGGGGCTAGGCCAGGTGTCGAGCATGCAGCCTGACCACGCTGAGGTTCCCAAAGCCCTGGCACGTCTCTACTACAAGACTGGCAAGCATGACCTTGCCGTGCAGGTGATGGCGAGTTGCCAGTTGTGCTGCTCGAGCCTGATTCTGAGCACATATGTCTGTTCTGTTTGATTGAGGTTGCCTTGAGGGATGGCGAGGGCCAAGCCTTTGTTTGTAGACAAGGTCCTGCCGCAGAGTGCGAGGAGTGGCCTTCCACTTTGATCTTTGGACAGCTGGCTAGCTTGCCCCACCTTCCAAGCTGTGATCTTTGCATCCCTCATCCCCCTGGCAGGCTTTGAATAGCTTCATCACAAGTCATCCCGCCGCTGTGGATGCTACGCACATCAACATTTTGGCCGAACTGTTCACTGAGGTTGGGCGATGGGCCGAGGCTGTGAGCCTGCTCTCTCGAGTCCAGACAGAGCTCTTTGGAGGGCAGCCTCTCCCCGCCGACCTTCAGGTAGCTTTCCTTGTGCTTTTTATCTGTCCCTCGGAGGCGGAGTCTCAGAGCAGTGACTCGCAGCAAATTGCATGTGCAGGGAGGGATTGAGGTAGTGCAAGGTGTATGGCGGGTGGAGATGGATGCGCGGCATTGTCCACTGAGGACGGGGTGCACTGCCATTTGAGCAGATGTCACCACTGTGATGTGCCTGGCACAGGTGAAGCGGGGCCTGGCGCTGCTCGCGCAGCGTGACCTCCCTGCCGCGCTTTCCAACCTCGAAAGCCTGCTCGCTGAGCCAGTGGAGGGCTTCGCGGACCTGTACCTGGAGGTAGGCGAGCGTCTGGCCGCGGCGGGCCACCCCCCGCTGGCGCTGCGCTTCCTGGCCCCGCTGATGGAGGTGGGTGGCGGCTCCAATCCCGTGGTCGCCACGCTGCTGGCAGACTGCCACGAGGCGCTGGGCGACCGGCGCAGCGCGCTGGACATGGTCCAGGCGCTCGTGGAGGGCCTGGACGCCGGCCACCCGGCGCATGCGGCGGCGACGCTGCGGGCCGCCGCGCTGCATCGCCAGCTTGGCGACGACGCGGCGGCCACCGCCCTGCTGGAAAGCGTGGAGCAGGTGCTGGCCGTGCAGCAGGAGGGTGCTGGCGCTGAGGAGGGGGCGGGGGCGGAGCTGATCCTGCGCAGGGCCGCCCTGCTGCACTCCGCTGGGCGCAGGGTGAGGCGTGCGTTGACGGGTTGGGGCGGGGGAGCCGTGTGGGCGGCGGGTTGGGGCTCCCCAAAACGTGCTCAGGCCCCTGTGTCGGCATGCTTGGTGTGAGGGCAGCAGGGGGGCGGCAATCATCTGGTGCCTGCTTCCTCGCTGAAGGGCGCTGTCCCGGTATTGAGATTGTTGTACCGGAGCCTGCACATGTTTGGCACTCGCTCGGCTACTGAAGTGCAGCCTTTGCATCCCCATGGCACATGTCGCCCCTGCATGTCCCGCCACAGGAGGCATTCCTGGACCTCGCCCTACCTACGCTGGGCGCCACGCTGCGGGCCCTGGAGGCAGAGGCAGAGCGCAGCGCGCCCGACGTGGCGCTCCGTCGGCGTCTGCGCTGGCTGGGCAGGCGGGGGAGGGAGGTGGGACGAGCACGAGGGCCCGTCACGATGCTCGACTCTGAGGGCGGCATGTTCAGGGGGCTGGATGGGCGCCTGGACCGTAGGAAGGAGCACGTGCGCGAGCTGGATGCGCGTGTGGAGGAGCTAGTGACCACAGCCGTGCAGAGAGACTCGGATGGTGTGTGTGTGGTTGAGTTGGGTGGTCACGCCGTTTTGGCATGTATGGTTGAGCCCTGCCTGTGGATCCCCTCGTCCCTCTGGAGCCTGGGTGGGATTGGATTGCACGTATGCCCCCCATCGTGAACAAGAACGTGTCCCTCGGAGGCAGACATGAGGACTGCACTGACCCTGGGTCTTCCTTCTGCAACTGCATTACCCATCCTGCCGGCTCCACGCGAGGCTCACCTTCACCTCCCATGCCACCCAAATGTGCAGAGGAGGAGGAGGAGGGTGCCGCCGCAGGGTTTGTCATGCGGGAACTCCTGCGCGAGGAAGGCCCATTTGCCCTCCTGGTCCAGGCGGGGCAGGCCCTGCACGCGGAGGGGCGGTGGGAAGAGGCTCGGGAACTGGCGTCTGCCGCGCTGGATGTCTGTGGCAAGCGCTGGGCGCATCGTTGGAAGAGGGACGCAGTCAGGCTGCTGGCTGCGAGAGGGGCGATCGCAGCGCACGATCTCCCCGCCGCGCTGCACAACCTGCGGCTGGCATGCGCACGGTGGCCGCTGGCGAGTCAGCCCTGGAACTCCTTTGCGCTGTGAGGCTCTGCAGGGCGTGATGCTGCGTCAGGACATGCCTTGCAGCCTGCACAGGGCTTGACATGTGATGCTCCTGCCATGCCTGAACCTTCTGGTCCTCGCTCTGGTTACTGCATTCCTGCAGAACCCCCCCTCGCTGCCGCATTCCCACCCTCGCAGCTGCATGGCGAGGACAGGAAAGTCCCGTACTGCTTTGCGGTTCCTGATCCCTCAGCGCCATCGCAATCCCACCTCGCTACCTTTGGCGCTGCTGACTGGGCACTGCCACATGGCGCTGGGGGCATGGAGCGAGGCCCTCTCTGAGTACCTGCATGCCTACAGGCGCGTTGTGGGGTGAGCCGGATGGCTCCTGGCCAGCCATTGATCACCATTACACGGGCTGTGCAAGGGTCGCGTCAAATGATGATCACACAGTCTGCACACTGCAGGATGAAGCCCAGCGAACCGCTGGTCCTGCTGTGCATCGCTTCGGGACTCATCAATCAGGCGTGTGCTCGAGGGGTGAGCGACAAGGAGGCCCTGGTCCTGCAGGCGTTCGCCTTCCTGGAAGAGTACGCGGCCACGCGCCTGAACACTCAGGTAGCAGTGTGTCAATGGAAATCGCCCAGGATTATAGTTCACCTATCAGTCCTGCATGCCAATCTGAGATTGTTCTGTCATGAGAGCAGCATGTTGGGGTTGCAGAGATTCAAGCCTCCAACTATTTGCTCCCCATGTTGCCTTCAATCAGGAGAGCCTGTACAACTTGGGGCGTGCGGCCCAGCAGTTGGGCATCCCACATGTGGCTGTCACATACTACTGCCGTGCTCTGGCCGAGGGGGTGCCAGGGATGGCAAGGGATGACATGAGCCGGGAGATTGCCTTCAACCTGATGCTCATCTACAGGGCCTCCGGTGCTGCACCCCTTGCAGCAGACCTGGCAAGAAAATATTTGACTGTGTAATGCCCCGGTACCGCGCCAACTGCTCTGAATATAATAACGGGAGTAGATCACATCCAACGAAAGCACAGAGACGCGGACCAGAGCGTGTCGGCAGTGGCAACACAAAAGGGGGAAATCCAAAAAGGCGGGGGCAACCGAGAATCGAACTCGGGACCACTCGCAGTTTGCGAAGTTTCATTCCGTTTTACCGGAATCGATTGGCACTTCTCCCTAAGCGAGTATTATACCACTAAACCATTGCCCCAATGGATGGTATCGGAAGAGTTTCTAGACCATCATATAAGTGAATTGGCCGGGACGGCCATTCCAAGAAAAAGTCCAGTGATCTCACACCAAACCCAGCATAAGACCAAATGAGTACACGAACTACAGGGAGTGTTGTAAAATGAAATGGCTGCAGGGATACAGGACGTGCTGCTCATGAAAATCATTGCCAACGTTTCACAGAACATCGTGAAGTGCAGTCTCCATGTGAGCCGGACATTGGGTGGGAACCAACCTAGAGTGCCCATTATCTTTGAGGCAACTTACGGCGGCAAAAGATCACCTATCACCCTCCAATCTCAATACGCACCCTCATGCTGCCTAGAAAACATTGCAAGCCGACTGTGAACATAATTCCGTCGAAAATAAACGGTATTGTTGGAATGGTCTCCTGCTCAGATGATGCACACACACACTTTCAAAGCTATCATGTGCGCCCCATCGCTCATCATCGCCAACAATGTCAGGCCTACTCTGCTTGGTGTGCCCCTGGTCCGACGGTGGTATCCACCAATGCCTCGACCTTTTCGATGTTACAGAGTGAATTGCCGTTCTCTCCCAGCAGGCTTCATCCTTTGGTCCTAGTGGCACCAGCAACAAGCCATGCTGCCTGTCTGATGATGAGGAGCTTGGTGAGGATCTGGTGGGCCCGAAACCGGGTGAGTTTCGCGGCGTAGCGGTGATGCTCTGTGGGAACTAGCGCCTGAGACGCGACGATTTCAAGACAGAGTAACTTTGGTCGGATTCCACTCCCGTTTACCTCCTCAGATAACATGCTCTGATAGAAACTTTCGGTGAGCTGCATACAACTTCAAAAGCCGGTGCACGAGGTTTGTCTCTGCCACCAACCTCTCGCAGAAGAATACCATGCATTTTTAACGGAGGCCCGTTAAACACAATCGACCGTCAATGAACCCACAGTCGCAGCGCTCTGGACATTTGGGATGTGAAACAGGACAATGGCCTCCAGTCCAACTTACAGTGAGATCCATTCACGATTGTAATCACTTTTTCCTTCCCCAGCAAGATCAGCAGGAATGCTTCACAACTTGAGACAGCATCGACGCTGTACAGGTCGAAAATGCGGGAGCGCTTACAAGGGTTGGGTCCAAGTATGCTAAAACATACCCTGCGATACTTGTAGAGGCTTTTAGTCGTACTGCAACCCCAGGCACGCAAGCAAAAGGTGTGTTAATTTATAGGAGGACCGTCCGCGATTCACGCCGTGGTCGGAGAGTTTTTTGCAGCATGCCAGGCCCACGCCCGAGATAAAGGTTCAGTGTCCGCTATAGCTCATGGAGGGGGTTTTATAGCAAGACACTCAGTGTGTTATCTCAGCGTAATGCATTTCGTTGCCGACAATATTCAAACTGTACTTCCACATTGTGCCTTCTGTGAAGTTGGCACTGGAAGTAAAGCCTCTCTGTGCTTCAAATCTCTATCAACTCAAATGGAGATGCACGTCATCATTAGTAAGGAAAAAATAACCACGAATACCCAACGACTTTCCTGTGCTTTTGAGGTACTTCACCACGAATATTAATTAGGCTCCGGAGTGAGATCTATACCTATCAGCTTGTCAGGTCCATTTCATGTTGAACCTCCTGATGCTTCACGGCAGGAGCGGCCAGAAGATCGCACGTGCTGCCTGTTGCAACTTAAACATTTATCTTCCGGGGATCTTATAGATTGCTTCGTCAAGAGAACACCGGGGAGGGGGGAGGGTGGGGAAACGATGCAAGCATTCTCTATATTTTTTACAACCTGGGCATAAGTCACAGTATATGCAAACGTAAGAGGGCTGCAGATTGCATGATAAAACTCCCTTCCCTTATGGCTGACGGCTCTACTGACATCGCCCTGTTCTATATGCAGGTTCCTATTTTGTTTGCATGGGCCCTTATCCGGCTTACAAAGTGATACAGGCGCACAACAGCCAGCAGGTTGGGAAAATCTTGATCATTATGTATACCTTGATTACAAAGGGGTAGCTCGTATTCGAGGGCTGAAGCCAATGTATTGCTGTAGTTGTAGATTAGTCATTGTATTCCAAACCGTGCGTGCCTTAAAACTGATAGTCGCATCTGTCTATTTCAGGCTCATCACACTCAAGTGTACAGTACTCTTAGACTTCCGTACTCGCAAGGTCTGGAAAGGGCGTCAGGCAAACTAGATCATTGCGGCTTTAGTCTTACAAAATCGATGTCAGGTCCAAGATGGCTTTGTCTTCCGAGTTAGCTGCGACAGTCATGCGTGCGACTGATATTGGAACCACTGTGTCAGTAATGATGCCAAGGTTTGTGGGAGCAGCTTGGCGTCCCTCACCAACAAATAGTAGGGAAAGGGGAAGGATTTCAGATACTTTTCCTCGTCAAGCTTGCCGCCATTGAATGAGAAAGACTACGCAGGGGGGTTAGGATAGATTGGGCATTAAACCTCGGTAAACGGTTGCGGGCGCACTAAAAATCTTATCTTCCTCGGTAGGCATTGCAGCTTACCTTTCTATCCAGAAGAGACATATTGGGGTTGTCCAGGATGATGAAGACGAACAGAACGCCGGACTTCATAGTGGTTTCCCTTACGAGAGCTGGCAATCCTTGGGACTCATTGATGTTCCCATCGGCAAGGATGATGACCAGTTGCTTCAAAGTGGATCTCAATGCTCCCTGCTGGCGCAGACTTGCCGTTTTGAGCATAGGATTTAGGGTCTCGAGCAAGGATTGCATTGGAGTGTCGGAGATCTGGTTGTCGAGGTCGAATGTGAGCTGAGGGAGGGAAGGACCAGGGAGTTCTGTGGGTTGGCAGTCAAGAAGGAAGACCGGGAGCTATCGGCCCGAACGCCAAGAGATATGGTTGAAAAGCAGGTGCTCGGCATTTACCTGTTCAACGACTCGAGCACCATCAGCGTCCGAGAACGGCTTCTCCAATGGGTGCAGGACTTCAGCACCGTGGTTGCCACCAAACTTGATGATGCCGAGCTCGCCGACCTGAGATACAGAGCATAGATGTTGGAGCGTTGGAATACATCCTGCAACAATCAAGGCAGGCCCCTGTCACAGAACTCCCTGGCTTACCTCCAATCGTGACAGCGATCTACTGATGAGATTCAAAGATCGCAATGCATCGTTCGAACAACCCATTTCAGACATGGATTTGGAGTTGTCCACAGCCAAGACCACCTGATACTTTCGTGTATCAGGTATGCTACGGCGCATCCAAATCTTGTCCTTTCGAAATTGGGAAGCTATGTAAGAGATCACCTGCGGCGCGTTTCGCAGAGAATTCTGTTAAGTTTACCATCTTCTCAGCGAGCGTCTACTGCAGAACCAATCACCGGATGTCTGATACTCACCCGCTTCATGTTGATCCTTTTCCCTGATCTGTAATCACCAGCCAGTTTCTTTGCTGTTGATGGCTCCAGAATCAATCTGAGTCTCTCTGTTAGATCTCCCACAAGGCCAGCGTTGGCAAAGTCGAAGGACTTCCAGATGTGCTGATTACGACCTGTGGGATTGTGAGATTGCGCTCAAAATCTCCTGATTGGCACCCTGGTAACTATGATCAAGAATGCCTGCCACAATAGACACGTACCTTCCTCCCTTGGTTGATGTGTATCTGGCGATGATTTTCTCTGAGCGGCGTCCTGCGATAGCATGGCAACCCTTTAGCGCTTCCATTAAAAGGGGAAGGTCAAGCAATATTCATCTGCACCACGACTGTCACATCCAAGAGCGGGATATACCTCGTTATAGGCGACTTCACGCCTGACTCGCTCCTCCTGCATCATGTTCCCCATCGCCGTTATCATCTCTCCTTCATCTCTCTCCGTCACAGATGCCGTTGTCGGAGCAGCATCTTCGTAGGAGTCCGCCTCCTCGACTCTCAGAGGAGAGGGGGGAGCTGGGGCAGATGTCGGTGCCTCCGCCATTGTTTGGGCATCGTCCGTCGTTCCCAAGCGCCGCTCTCCATTCTTTTCTGTTCCTTCATCAGGGGCAGCCTGCTCTTGCGCGTCCGGAAGCTCTTGGTCGATTTGTCCGTCCGCGGCTGCTCCCATTGTCTGTTCGTCGCCTGCAGCCACCTCTTCCTCCTGATTGAGATATCGGTAATCAGCTTGGCCCGCTGCTTCTTCAACAGCGGCTGGCTGGTCGCCCTTGTCAGCCTCTTCATCGTCCACCATCGACAGATTCTTCAACCAATCTTGAAGAGCGTCACCTGTCAATGATGGCATGAATGATAAAACTGGCATGCCACTATTTGTGCGTCACATGGGCACTATCCATAAATGGTAGTGTGGCTGTCCATCAAACCCTGAAATAACTATCTCTGCTTCATAAGGCAGGCTTACCCAAGTTTCTGTAAGGATTCTTCTGCTGATTTCTCCTCCCATCCGCTGTCTCCCCTTGAGGCGCAGCGCCAGCATTTGTATCTTCGCCCTCAGCATTTAGAGCTGAAGCCGTAGGAGGCTCCTTCCCTTCCTCAGCCGCATCCGCTTGTCCGACCGCTGCCTCTGTCTGATCAGAGGCTTCCTCCGGGGGAGCTTGAGATGCCCCGCTTCCCTTTGACGCTTGCTGATCGAGTTTGACGTTCTGCTCGGGCTTCTGAGGTGCAGGTATCTGATCGATTTGGCTTGGATTATCGACGTCATCATCCTTTTCAGAGGTCTGGCCATCGTCCCTGAGGAAAATATAGGGATTGTGGGGATCTTTGTAAGTTCCGACCCGAGGCAATTGATTAAACGCGAGCCTCGGCGAGTTTGTTTCATGGTTGGCTGAAAGTGACTCACATTCTCTTCTCGGCTCCCTCTCGTTCATCATCGTCACCGTCTGGCTCTCCCTCCTCATCACTGCTAGCGGCATCGCCAGCGGCGTCTGATGCCTGAGAGGCCGAGGTTTCATCCTCGCTTCCCTGTCACAAACAGGAGGCGATCTGTTTTAGAAGTCTATTAAGTACGAGCCTTCTCCCGACAGGATTTGCAGACTGCTCACCTCAGACATGGCATCCATGTCATGGTCGAGTTCAAAGGGTGCTGCCTCCTCCTCGGCATGGGTATGGTTATCATCATCCACCCTGCATATGCAAACAAAGGGATTATGGTATGCGAGTTAATATTCTGTATCAGGGTGCAACGGGGCACATGACCACCTCTATTTCCAGGAAAACACCTGGAGCTACTCACATTCTTGAATCCTCTACTCCTTCATCTTCCATTTCACTTGGGGCGTCCTCCCCTTCGTCCCCGCCACCAACTTCCTCCTTTTCTCTGGCGTCGTCAGCCCCATTGTCGTCGCCACTTTGATTGCCTTCCTCCAGTCCAGCCACAGTTTCCGTATTGCCTCTGGCATCCTCAGGACTGGATCCAGCATCCTTCTCGTTCACCTGAAAAAGACGAAAAGAATTGTGTCGAGCGGGAAAGAATATCCTGCGTGTGACACCCCTGACACCTTGCCTTGATGCGATACATACCGTATCATTTTGCTCCTGGTTCTCGGCTGCCCTCTCGTCGACATCTTCTCCAGCGTCGCCCGTGTCACCCATTTGTCTGTCCAGTTCCTCTCCCTCGTTTTCATCTTCGCTGCCTGAAGAGTGGGGAGGTGAAATATTCAATTCTTGCTCCATGAGCACTTCAGTGTTTTGACCCCTGCCCGGCGATATAATTGTTGCAATCATTATCTCACCTGACGCTTCGTCCTCTAATGGCGCAATATCCTCCATCTGACCGGAGAAATCGTCCGCCATCTCAACGCCTACGCATATGTGAATTCAGATATAGATCGATGTGTGCAACACTGGGTTTGACAGCCGATGTTTTGATTATCAAGAGGCTCACCCTTCGCGTCGTTGTCCATTGTGTCCTCATTGTCGCCGTCGTCCTGCTTGTCCTTGTCAGTCCCTAGAAGCTGGTCTTCGTTGTCAATCTCATCGCTGACATCCTTGGCTCCCTTTGTTGATCCGTCACCCATGCCCGTGCCTTCTTGAGCAGGGCCATTCTCGTCGCCAGCTTCACCTGAGCAGATGTATGAATTTGTCTCCCGATTAGGTATAACGTAGATGCGTTCCAACACAGAACAAGAAAATCTCGCCACCTGCCTCACCGTCATCATCATCTGGTCGGCAGAATCCCTCGGAGATGAGGCCACAGAATAAGGATGTGATGAAGTAGGCTAGCCTCGAGGTAGCTGCACCCACAGAGGAAATGCTCGCCATGACTGATTTCAGAATGCCCAGGATTCTCTCAAGGGCGTCCATCTCGCTCCCTTGAAGGTCTGGGTGGCCTGCAGAAAATTTAAGCACCTCGCGAAGGCTGATGGAGACCTTCTCCACAGTAGTCTTGAGTATGCCCAGCCAATCCAGATAGACGTCCAGTCTCTCCAAGCTCGTCGGTTCAGCTTCGGGGATGTCTGCTTCTTGGAGGGAGAGCAGCTCGCCTTGGAGCTGTGCAAGAAACTCCGCGAACACTGGCAGGTCAGAGCTGTGTTGCCTGAGGCTGGCTGCTGCCTCCTCTCCATCGGGTGCTGCAGTGCTATCGGTAGCCTGGAATGCTTGCAGAACGTCGGCAGTGAAGCCATCTGCATGAGTCTTGCAAATCTCCTCCACTTCACGCTCCATGCTCCTCAGACTCTGCTGCATGCTCTCCATTAGGTCCGAGGCTCGACTGTGCACGAGTCCGGTCTTGAACAAGGGAGGCAAAGCCGCTTCGCTGAGTGCTGCTTGTAGTGCGGCCACCCGGTGGCCCATCTCCAGGAGCGTGCGCATCACTCTTTGCTGTCCACTCAGCTCTGCAGATGGCTGGTGTGGCAAGCTGATGCTGAGACCTCGGCAGGCTTCATCAAGTACTGTCTTGATCGTGAGGAGACGAACTGACATACTCCTATGTTGCGACGTCAGAGACTCAGTTGACCCGCTCAAGCCGCCATTAGGCGCTGGTCGCTTTGTGAAGACAGCCGCCCTGATCAAGGTACTCGCTCGGGTGCAAGCATTCAAACTCTCACGAGTCTGTTGCAGCATATACACAATGTGATGGGTCATGTGTTGCGCGGCCAGAGCATGGTGCGGCTCCAGATCCGCATGTGGCGACTTCTCCATAGCCTGCGCCAGCCAATATACGCTTCATGGTCTATTGGAGAGCTTTACGGCCGGGTAATGCTCTGTTTTTGCCACACAGAGAACAGGCCAACCTTCAGGACCATCCTCACCTCGTCGACCTTCTTCATACGCAGAATGCTTTTGTAATAATACTCATTGATGGTCTCAACTAGGTTGGAGATTTTGGTGCCGTCCTCACCAGCGACCTCCGGGAAAGCCTGTGAAAGAGGTAAAATAGAGTTGCAGTTATATCACATTGTGGATCCTTATGAAGGGTTTTCCCTAATAAAACTCCCATACGAACTCAGCAAACGACAAAAGCCCATTCTTTGGCAGATACCTGGATGAAACTGCAGAAGACCCCTCTGTTCTGTGCCGGGACTGCAATCTCGGACTTGCTGATGCCAATTTCCGAGATGGCATCAAACAGATCCTTGAGGGCCAGGCGCTTTCTGGAGATGTGGCCCCGCGCTGTGTCCGCCCTGAGTTGCGCAGTCCTCTCCGCCAGGGTGGAGATGAAATTCTCAAAGTGAGCCACCAGTGCTGCTGAACGCTTGGTCATCGCTTGCTGCAGGCCTGCTGCAGCAGTGCATGGCATTGTGCTGCCATCCTCGATCCTCTCCCCTCCCTCTTCCAGCTTCCCTGGCTTTCCAGGCCACCGAGCTTGCATGTCGTCGAAGCCGCTCCTCTCCAGGGTCAAGGTTAGGATGGGGCCCGCTGGAGCCTTCAGTATGTCGTTCACTCGGCGTGTCAACCGATGCAGCTGACGCTGATGCTTCTCCACAATGACACGAGAATCGTCATAACCTCTGAACTCCCACTTTTGGAGTGCAACGTACTCCTACAAATGTGCACAGCAGGGTTCGTGAGACGGAAAGTAGCAGTGTTGTTGTATGTCAGGGCCTGATGCCGTGTGCGCCATGGCACAATGTTGGCAGAGGAGGTGTACCGCCTGATTGACGGCTGGTTCCCTGTTGCACACATCCCACCTCACCTTGAGTTGCTTCTCTTGAGGTTTCAGCTCCTCCGAGATCTTAGCGGCAATCACTTCAGCGAATTGAGAGTAGTAGCCGTGTACGTTGAGCAGGATTGTCCGGTACATGCCTGCTCGGCTCGTCTGGGCTGGGGCTCCTCCAGAGGCACTCTGATCGAGCACATTGAGATGGCCCATGAAGCTGTGCAGCAGGGCCAGCCGGTCAGCAAACTCGCCTATCGGTGAAGTCTGCGATGTTGAATGAAGGAGCAAGGTCAGGATCCGATCGTGAGCAGATCAACAGGCGGCGTGAGCCTAAGCCGGGCACCTCAATATCAGGTCAGGGTCCGACCCACCTCAAAGAGAGTCTGCAATTCAACTATGACAGTGTCGAACTCAGCCTGAAGCTCCCCTTTGGCGGTCCTGATGAGCAGCTCGTAAAGGCTAAACCATGCCTGTGACAATGTGGGGTTGGAAGAGGCCGTGATCAATACCCGTGCACAGGATATTGCCACCCATGACAGCTGCCCAGCAGGCAGGCACGTTTTAGACTCCGGACTTCCACGCCGGTGTGTGCCATAGCCGGATGGGCCTCACCTTCCTAGCCTTGTTGCTGAAGTCAAGCCGAACCCTCGATATCAGCGATCGCCAACCTTGCAACTCAAACTTGCGCCAGCGCGCAGCCAAAGCAGCCAGGGGGGCAAGCTCCTTCGCCAAGCTGACGTGCTTCGCTGCTGTCAACTCCCACTGCTGGGCACGAGCCAGCAACAGTTCGACACCGGTCAACACTGTTTTCAGCGGACTACCGACATCCAGCTCCTTCAGCCTCTCAGACACTCTCAGGACCTGCAGGAAGTCACAACACGTGGTTGAATGGGATTGCTCTGTGACATGACCCCAGCTGCTGGCATAGAAGCCGCCCATAGCTGTTTGCTAGTGCACAATAGTAGCAAACCTCTCCCATCTCACTTGCACGAGGAGTACATGCTCTGGCCACTCCGCAAGCAGCTCCAGGAGATGGCGCTGGAGTGCAGCCACAGGAGCTCGTATCAACAGAGCTTCCTCACTCGAGGGAGACTGAATATCAAAGGTCTCCACGTCAGCTTCGTGAGAGGCCGGCTTGGCAAGGGTGTGGAATTCCTGAGCGACCGCCGTAATATGTCCAGTGAATGTCTCCCGGTCAAGGCTTGAATCAAATGTGCTGTCCCCGCCGGCGATCTGTAGACCCAGCTGATATGCTGATAAGAAGGCGGCGGGCGACCGTCCGGCGGCCACAACCTCGCGTCTCGAGGCGAAGAGGGCCGCATAGGCCGCCGCGAGGCGCTCAAGGACATGGCCCTTGAGGGTGCCCACCAGCGCAAAGGCTGCCTTCTGCTCGGGGCCTGAGACTTCATCAGGTGCATCAGCGACGTCATGATCGAGCTCCAAATCTGCAAATGCCAGTCTATGATCTGGGAATTGCTGGTTGTAGGCATCTTCATCCTCCTGGATGATTTTGAGGGGGAAAGGAGGGGGAAGGGCTTTAAAATGTCTGAAGGTGCCCAAGCATCATCCCAGAAGCCCAGGGTTGTTAGTGCGCATGGCATATGCATGGAACACCCTACCTGCTCATCAATGGACAGCGTCACGGCCTTGGCCTTGGTCTTGAACACGAGTGCGGCCTCCTCTTCGAGGCGTCGCTCCTCGTTCTGCACGTCGACCCACACTTGCAGCAGTGCGCCGTAGACGTGGTGCACAGTTTTCCACTCGGTCTCGTTGACGAGGGGGACTCGACTCTGCTGCACGGCCCCAAGGTAGCGGCTGCAGTCCTCCAACACAAAGAGCAGCAGCTTCAGGCGGGCTGCAAGAGCGCCCACCGCCTCCTGACTGGGGTCATGGGTCTGCCTGCCCCTGGCCACCAGCTGCGGCACCAGCCTGGGTGTAAGATGCAGCCGCGCCGGCTTTGGGTATCGCATCAGCGTCGCCAGCTGCGCCGACACGCCCTGGGAATCTGTGCCGCCAAGCTGGCGTGCAGTGACCATCAAGCTCAGGCCATACTGAAGCTCGCCCGCAGCAGTTTGGACCGGCTCAAGGATGTCTCGATACGACGGGTATCGCTGAAGCAGGCTGTTGGCCCACGCTGCGCAAGACTCCTGTAGACTGGTCGCCACATCGAGCTGGGACTGAGCCTCAGCATCATAGGTACCCAGTGACTGCATGTGCATAGGAGGTCACAGATGAGTGCCGCTTCATGATTATGAGGATGACATTTCCTGTGGAAGTTACTCCCTCAGCATACATAGATCGGCTGTGAAGATGATACGCTGCCTGACGGCGGACACCCCTCTGCGCAGCATCCCTACCTCGATCAGACTCCTGACTGGTCCTGTGGAGCCAATCCCAGAGCAAAAGCGGCAGACTTCGCTCCTAATCTCAAAGTACTGGGGTGGCAAGGGCCGCGGCGTGCACAAGTGCTCGAGGCGCTCAGCGGAAGTCGCCAGGTCCTTCTTGCTTCTTGCAGCTGCCAGTAGGTATGGACCTTCATCGCCGCCACCTTCACCAGGTTGGAATGGCGCAGGAGCATTGGAGAGGGGCAAGTGGTCGAAAATAGGAAGGTAAACATGGGAACTCAGTGCACATGCCGCGTCACGGCCACTTACACACCTGGTAATTGCTCAAACAGGATCCTGGCCGTCTGTTCTGGCCCCACACGCTCTTGCAGGATGGCCAAAATATGCTGCCTCTTCAGAGATACCTCAGCTGCGGGGTCACATGCCGCAGGAGGGATGCAGAGATGGAGGCGGCCCAGGCCCAGGAGAGCCCAGGCTTTTCCAAAGGCCAGCATGTCTGTGGGGAGGTGGTCAGGCCGATGTTGTCAGACAGGCACAGCAGAAGTCATTTAGCAGATCCCAACACACTGCGCAGGGCTGTGTTATGGGCCATGGAGCCACCGAGCGCACTTGGCTGACACCCGGCGCCAGTAAGGGGTCCCAAAATCCACCACCCACCAGCAAACTCCTCGCCATGGGCAAGCAGCTGGACAATGGGCATGAAGCAAACGAGCCACAGTTGCCTGAGGCCGCTGTGGCTGCTGCCATTCACCGCGTGGGCAAGAAGGGAGACGACATCGCCCGCAGCAGGTTGATCGTGGCTGAGGAGGTCATGAATGGCAGCGCCAAAGGCTTCCCTCAGATCCTCAGGGATGGTGTCGCTGTGTGCCGTAAGGGTCGCAGCACAGACAGCCCGGAGTGCTGCTCGCTCAGACACGGCCATAGCCCGCGAATTGGGCACCCTGTGCCGCAGCAGGGCCTGCGCGGCGCCAGAGAGCTGCGCCTTGCGCGCGTCCACGGCCCCGATCGCCACGGAGGTGCCCGCTGCAATCTTGCCCACCAGGCGCGTCAGCTCCGAGGCATGGAGCCTGCCAGGCAGGGAGGTTGCCGGCTCTGCGCACAGGCCGCGCAGCCAGCGCTGCCATGCCTCTGCCGCGAGGCTCCGGATCAGGGTGGCCTGCCAACGCTGCACGTCTAGGGTCCACGCAGTGGACGCGCCGTCCTCCAGGAGCATGGCCAGCTGGGTGAGAGGCGCGCACGCGGCTGGGCTGTGGCGGCCGCTGCGCAGCAGGCTACCGCTCAGCCTCCGCAGGATGACCACGACGTCCCGGTCCGCAGATGATCCACCCTGTGTGAGCAGCAGGCGCAGGACCCCGCCACTCCCAAAGGCGTGTAGCGCGTCCATGTTGGCAAGGAACTCCTGGAGCATGGGAGGTTGCACGGGGAGGGGGGAGGGGAGATGAGGGCGACTTTCAGAGTTCCATGCCATGCCTCGCGGTCAAGGTGTCCATGTGAAACACCGAAGCGGCCGAGCAGGCAGCTCATGTTTACCAAGGCGCACCGTGAGATCCAGAAGCTCTAGCTGCATGGCCTGCCCCTGCTTCCCGGCCGGAAGATGCCAGGCCACGGAGGAGTGGCTGCCATCCAGCCCACCCTGCTGAGCACCGAGCTGGGACCCCTTCAGCATCAGGGCCTGACTGGTGGCAGCCAATTGCTTCACCAGCGAGACCGAGGCATCAATGCTCCTCTGCACACGCTGCCTGGCCATGGGAAGCACTGTCTGCAAAGCATCGAGAGCCGGGCGCCGAGCGCCAGGCACGCCCAGGCTCTGGTCGCCACAGACCGAGCCCAGGAGGCACAGCGCTTGGGAGAGTGCAGATCGCATGTCCGCGTCCAGGGTGACCAGGAGAGCGACGGAATTGGCCTGAGCCTCCCTGTCTTCATGTTCGTTGTCTGCTCCCTCCTCCATGGCTTCATCATCCTCTGCAGCCAGATCAGCAAAGGAGAATCCAGCCCTGACCAATGCGGCAGGAAGGAGGGAATGGTCTAGTTCCTGAGTTTGAGCTCCAAATCTGGTGGCAGGGATGTGACGGGGATAGTTAGAGGTGCAGGGGGGCAGCTCGATGTGGTGGGGAACAATGCTTGGCTGGTGAGCATCAAAGCACGCACTCACACCAACATCCACGCGCCCGTCCCACTCCCACCCCCGCGCACCTGGCCAGTTCACAGAGGGTCAGAAGTTCGGCTTGGTCAGCAGCAAGCTGGGCATCCCGAGGCAGCAGGGGATGCATGCCACTGCGCCAGAGGCAGGGCTCCACGCCTGCCACGAGGCCGAGGCTGGTGCTGCCTGCCCGCACCACCTCGAGCAGACGGGCCGCATTGGGATTTGCAGAGCTCGCATTCCCCAGTCCCTTGAGAATTTCAAGCCGCAGCTGTGACCAGAGGTACATGAGCTCCTCATGTAGCAGGCTGCTGGCCATGTCGATGTGGGCCTCACTGCTGATCACATGGTTGGTATCTGGGTGTGCAGCCCGCATCAAGCTCCATCTCCACTCTTGAACAGCAGCTACCCTCAGCACCTGTGATTGAAGGAAGGTTGAGCAGCGTGTGTTGCGCTGGACTCATGTTACGAGAGGAGCCGTGGGTCAAGTCGAAAAGTCTTGACACCCTTCATCTGATGTGCGTCCCATCGGGGGAAACTGCAGAACTCGCAACCTGTCTCTGAACTTGCCATGACGGTATCGAGCGTCTCTGGCGGTCCGCCAAGCACTTGGGCCTCCCAAAGACCCACAGCTTCCAGTGTAGGAAACAACCAGTCTATGATGGGCAGCTTGAGTTGTGACCGCAGCCTCTCCTGTAAAATGTGGACGTGTTGAGCCACTCAGTGATCTGAGCAGAGCTGGAAGGGGCAGCCTCGACGCTCCTGGACTTTAGCTGAAATGCCCAGAGACAAGCCCACATCATCACGATATTCTGAGAAGGCCTCTGCCCGATGCCCAGGGGCTGCGCCTACCTGTGGATGAGCATGCCGCCAGTAGGAGAACTGCAGGGGGCTGACGGCATCCTCCGCCGATCTCACGTGCAGGATCGCCGCCATGAGAAGTGCTCGGGCCTCCACTGCTCCGTGTATGATCCTGGTCAGCAGGGGAGCACCCGCGCAGGGTAGGGCCGCCTCTGGAGCGCCACTGACCTGCACCTCGGCCATGCCGTCCTCACCGTCCTCCGTGGGGTGCCACCCCCTCAGCAGCGTGCCCTGGTACCTCTCCAGCTCGCGGATCAGCGCGGCTGCCACCATGACCGCCTGCTGGAGCCCAGGCGCGCCCAGAGCACTCGCTGCGGCGTGGACCTGTGCCAGATTGGGCAGCAGGCATGAGGGAGCAATCTGGGCGCCGCCCGGTGCCCAGACGGCCGCAGCGTGCGTGCAGGCCAGCGCAAGGCGCCAGAGCGAGGCAGCCGAGCCGTGGCCAGGGACCCAGGGCGCGAGCTCGGCTGTAGCGCCTTGTGCAGCGTGCAGCACGACGGACGCGCGCGCCGTTGCGGCGTCCAGTGGCGCAGTGCTCAGCAGGCTGGCCAAGGCATCGGGGGTGATGGCGGGAGCTGCGCCGGCGCTCGCGGGCTGCATGAGCTCCACCCCCAGCCGCACCAGGCTCGCCACTGCGGGGGTGGCCCGTCGGGCGACAGAAAAGGCCGTCGCATCCTCTGCCGCAGCCGCCACGTCGCGTGGGAGCGGCCAGGCAGCTCGCCGCACGAGACCATGACTGGGGGTCACGCCTGTGGACCGGCTGTCAGCAGCGTGCGCAGCAGCCAGCGGGCTCTGCCCGTCCTCGCCGCCATACAGCTGACCAAAGGAGGCCGTCAGCGCCTCGCTTGCGCCCCAGCCCCGTGCCACGAGCGACCGCGCCAGCAGCGCCCACCGCTTCAGCGCACCCAGGCCCGGAGGCCTGCGGGAATGGCCCGCGGCCTGCACTGTCGCCACAGCGTGCGCAGCGCACATGCTGGACTGCAGCGCCTGCTCCTCGATCCCGGCCTGCTCCAGGACGAGGCACAGCTCGGCGGTCTCGCGCGCGGCTCCCTCGCCCAACGTCCAGTCAGGCAGGAAGAGTTCCACGCCACGGTTGCGCATGGCCTGCGAGACCTCGCCGTGCCGGGGATCCATCGCCATGAAGAGCCGGAAGTCCGGGTGTGTGAGTAGGACCCGGGGTTTTCCGCTGGCGGTGCCGCACTCGTTCAGGGTCAGGTGCCCGCCAGGCTCCAGCAGAGGGTTCAACCGATCCAGAACAGTGGGATTGCACAGGTTTGCGTTGTCCAGCAGCACCCAGCCCCCCTCCGTGACAGCCCTGGGAATGGTGGGAGTTGGTGTGTGGGCACAGTATCAAAAAGCGCTCAGGGGGCCAGATGTGGCCACACGTCAGCAAGCCGGGGCTGGAGCTCGTTGGCTGAGACTGCGCCGTGGTCCCACTTGTTTGGACTGGGTTGCCTTGAAGCAGGGGCACCTCATCTGGCACAGGTTGCCCATGTCCCGTGTGCGCCAGGAAGGCCTGCGGTCTCTCACCCCTCCCTGCCGTCGCCACCAACACGCACCTCGTGAGCGGGCCATCCACCCACTCGAAGCGGCCAGCGACGCCATGCTCGCTCGCCTCTGCCTCCGCCAGCAGTGCACCCAGACGCTGCTGAGCAAGGTCCAGATGGGACAAGAGGCCACGCATGCATTCCTGAAGCGCAGCAGTGCTAGGCGAATGGCGCGCAAGCTGGGCCAGCAGCCCATCCACTGCCAGGAGGAGGAGCGAGGCCGCACGCCCCATCTGCTCCTGCCCCTCGCCCTCGTCCCGACTGGCTCCTGGCGGCAGGGCTTCGCATGACGCCTCCCAGCACCGAGTGACGGCAGACAGGACACTGACGGCGCCCTCAACATTGGGGAGGAGGAGCAGAGACCGCCCACAGGATGCCAGGGACGCTTTCACTGCAGCTCCAATGTTCTGCACGTGGACGACAAGGGAAGCATGATTCTCGATGGTGCTTGACGTGGCTGGCTGGACAGGGGACCCAGCTCTGGGCTTCTTCAAGAAATTAATCGTGCCATGGCCGATCTCAGTGCTGGTGCCCACAGGGGCGACTCAACATGCACAGCAGGATGGGTCCGGCTGCAGCACGGCCCACGGGGCCGCCCCAATCCTCACCTGGACTCTCCGCATGGGCTCCAGCTGCTCAAAGCCACCCAGCAGGTCAGAGGTGTCGGTGCCCTCGGTGAGCGACAGCTCCGTCAGATCCCTGCCTGCCAGCTCCGCCAGTGTGCGGATGAGGGCCGTCTTGCCGGCCCCCGCCGGCCCAACCACCAAGCCCATCCACCCGGCGCCGACGGCGCGAGCCAGGCCCTCCAGGTCCCGCCCCTTGCTCGGAAGCAGGGCCAGCAATGGCTGTGAGGCGGCGCCGCCCATGCGAGGAGCGCGGGACCTGGCCACCTCCGCCCTCCCGACCCTCAGGACCTGCGGGGTCAGGTGGACGGCTGGGGACGCTGCAGGGGCCCCTCCGTGCCCGGGCCAGGTCTGAGACAGGAGCGCCCCGACCCGAGCCCGGTCCTCGGCCGTGCGCAGCCGCTGGGTGAAGAGCATGTGCCCGTGGTGGGCCGCAGCCGAGTCGCAGGGGTCCCGTGGATACTGCGGTTCATGCCCGTCTCCGTCAGCCATGGCCCTGCACGCCGCATCGCACCCCGAGCAGTCCGCGGCGACGAGCTCGCACCACCGCAGGAGATCACGCAGGTTGAACTCCCAAGGGCCACCCGAGGCGGCAAACCCGGTGCGCGCGACGGTCTCCGCCTGCAGTCTCGCCAGGAAGGAGATCATGCCTTGCAGGGTGCTTGGGGGAATGCGAGGGTGGGCCGCACCTGTGTGTCAAGGGAGGGAGAAGGGAAGATGGCATGCGTGTCGAGGAGGGCAAACACGGTCTGGGAAACCACCAATTGGGTAGCAGCCGATGGGAAATCGATGATCCCCAGCACAGTGCCACCCGATCCCTGTCCGGGTTGCACAGATTGGAAGCGCGCGCCGCTCCTGGGCCATGCTCCCAAACCACTGCTTTCTGATCACCACTCACCAGCGATGAAGTGGAGGTCGTCTGTGCCCAGCAACTCCACATACACACGAGCGAAGCGGTTAAGGAAAGACCTCGGCAGGCCCTTGCGCCCACCACCCTCCTGCAAAGGGTTCTGCGCCCCAAAAACCCTAAAGGTTGGCGGGCAGGTGAATGTCTGGTCCAGCTCCGGAATGAAAACCTCGGATCGATGGTCAAGGACCGCATTCAGGCCCTCCAGGACAGACTGGCTGGCCAGGTTCAGTTCGTCAAGCAGCAGCCAGGCTCCTGTCTTGATGGCGTGGAGCAACGGACCATCCGACCTGGCAGACAGGAATGGGGGCGTTCTTGACTTGGAAAGGCTCTCTGGGCTCCATACGGCAAGGACGCCGGGAGTGGCACACATGTTCTCTCATGATAGCTTGCCAACAACCCTGAACTACTGCTCCACACCCACCAGGCAAACGTCCCCGCTGCACCGCTGTCCACAGGCAGATCAGCTCCCAGCAGGTCCATCATGTCTGTCTGCTCGCTGAGGTTGACGCGCACCAGGGTCTGACCCACAGCCCGGGCCAGAGCGGCCACGAGGCTGGTCTTGCCCACTCCCGGACTGCCCTCCAATAGGATGGCTTTTGGCAGCTGCACAAGGGTAAGAGGGCGGGTGGTGTCGGGCTGAGGGTCCGTTGGAGGATCTGGAGAAGACCAGAGAGGGGGTTGAAGGAGTGTCACACCCGTGCAGTCGAGTGTGTGCCCATCGGATCAAGCGGCCTCAGGTGAAGAAATACTTGTCGGCACATCATGCTGCTGTGCAGCAAGCGCTCGGTAGAAATGTCAAGAGTTTATCATCAATGGCCAAGAGATCGTGATGCCAGTCATGGGTGGGGCAGGGATTCAATCGTGCTCCAGCCGCACCCTGCCTCCCCAGGGGCTGGTCACAACCCATGCCATGCCATGCACCTGCATCGCACGCAGCACACGGAATGTGTTGCGTCGGGTGGTCGGGGCATCAAAGTCGAAGCGCACAGCGCGCTCCTCCTCTGGCCCGGCCCGCTCTACGTCGACGAAGAAGGGCACGGTGCCCCACTGCTCGTGGTTGGTGACAGGGTGGGCACGACGCTGCATGGCTGGCTGCTGGCTGGCCTGAGACAGGCTTGCGGTGACCTCGGGCGACAACTGCTGGAGCAGGAACGTCCTGCACGTGGCCGTCAGCTGGCTCGAGACCTGCACAGACGGCAAGGGATTGGGTTCGAGCAGGGTGCTGGACGGCGCAGCTTGCCGGGGCGCTGGGCAATGCAGCTACCCTAGGCGCTACACGCGGGGCCCACCAGCCCCAAACAGCGATCGTTGACCGGGAGCCCTGCCACGAGCCGATGCAGCTGCTCCAGACTCGCATGCCTACCTCGATGGGAAGTCCCACGCCCAGACCCAGACCGTCCAGAAGGATGAGCTCTGCGCCATGCGCGTACGCCAGCATGGCTCCCAGGCCGGGGGTGGTCAGGTTGATGAACTCCACCCAGGCCATCAGGTCTCGCATGGACAGCGCCTGTCGAACCGAGGCGGAGATCTCTTGGTTGAAAAACGTCCAGAAGTCGATGAGGGGCTGCGTCACGGCCTGTGCTGCTGGGACAAGCCGCTGGCTCAGGATTGCATGCAGCTCGGAGGGCGTAGTTGCTGCAGGCACCCAGATCGTGGTGAAGCGGTTGCTGAGCGCGGGGGAAAGCTCCTTCTTCCCAAAGTCGCCCCCGGGGTTCATGGTCGCCACAACCCTGAAGTTGGGGTGGGCGACGATGACCTCTGCCGCGCTTCCCCCCTTTTCTGCCAGGGTGAGCGTCCTGCCAGGCTCCAGTACGCTGGAAAGGTGAGGACAGAGGGGGGTTGGGATCTTTCATGGGCACAGCAACAGCAATCCATATTACAGACTGGGGGTGGCATAGGTATTCAGCAGGGAGGGCAGATGCAGCGCCTCCCATCGTCACACACCTGTTCAACCTCTCCAGGACGGCATCCTCTGCGAGGTTGAGCTCGTCAATCAGGATAATGTCGCCCTGGAGCATGGCCTGGACCAGGGGGCCATCGGCCCAGACAAAGGGCACAAATGCTTCGCCTTCAGCCGCAGGGGCTCTGCGCAGATAAACAGGAGGAAGGTAATTGTGGAGGAGTGTTATGCCTTGCCACCGTTTTCAAACTGTATACTGGGCTGCACTGACATGCTCAGGCTGCAAACGACCTCAACAGTTCTGCTCTTTCTACTCAGCAGCTGCCAATCTCTCCAGGCACCCCTACCAACACCTCGCACCTGTTGGGCCGGAATCCACCCAGCAGGTCAGACGCCTCTGTGTGCTGATTGCAATTGAAGATATGGAGCCGCTGGCCCCTGACAAAGGCTGCCATCTGGCAGACCGTGGTCTTCCCGGTGCCTGTGTCCCCTATCAGGAGAGCCGGCTCCTCGTGTGCGAGGCAGCGATCCAGCAAAGCATACCTGGATCAGCATGGTGGCATGGAAAATCAGGACACAAATCCCAATGCAATCACTTCCCTACACCCACACAGGCCATGCTTTTGGCGTGTGGAAGCTCAGCGGGGTTGCCTGCCACAGGGTTGCAACCAATACCTTCGCAAGCCCCCTCCTTCCCCCGGATCTCACATCCTCTGCATGGGTCGGGTCCAGACAAGACCACGCAGCATCTTCTGAAGCGCCTGGGTCTCTGGACCTGGCATGGCGCCGTCCAGCTCACCAGCTCTGAGCCTAGCCTGGAGCTCCAGCAGCGGCTTTTCGCCCTCAGTAAAAAAAGCCTCCTCGAGGTTTATCTGGGGGTACAGAAAGGTTTAAGGGTGTCGCACCTGCCATGTCCCGGGTGTCGCACCTGCCATACGCCAGATGTCTAAATGCTTGAAGTAAACACTGGTGCAGCCACCAGACACTACACCGACATCTCCAGCATGTCTGTCCGGAACTTGTCTCCTCGACACAAATCTTACCTTTACACGGAGCTCTGTCTGTATGGACTGTCGTACAATGCTCCTCTCCTCGGCGTTCCGCAGCCGCTCTCCAAGCACTGCAAAGCCGTTTATGGCCAGCTCGTCGCCATGACCACCGCGCCCCGCCCACCGGAAGAGGTCTCGGGGGGTGATGAAGCCGTGCCTGCCGGCGAATACATTCCCTGCAGCCCGGCCATCCTGCAAGGCTTGCATGACCCGCACGATGCGCGCAGCATCGCTGTTGCTTATGCCACACCTGCGATGCAGTAAGGAACGCGAGAGTACATTGCGATGAGTATGTGGTGCAAGCCATCTGATTATACAGACTGGAGAGGCATGGATGACGGTGCCTCAATCTATGCCGGTGCCCTGGAAATCCTAGATTCACAGCTTAGAACCCACATTCCCATTGCTGACCCCACCTGTGCTCGAGGATGGTGACGAGCTCTGTGGGTGGGATGTCATCCACCTGCATCTCCAGGAAGCGTGAGCGGAACGCGCGACTCAGCGCCTTTCGCCCCGCGTACAGACCGGGTGGGTTTTGGGTGGCAAACAGCATGAAGTGTGGGTGTGGCTTGATGGTCTCCTGAAGCTCGGGCACGAACAGCTCGCGATTGTCGTCTAGCAGCCTGTGAAAGGGGTGGTGGTAGTGCTGGAGCTGGCCACCACTGCTCATTGAGCTTTGCAGCAGGAGTGTGCCTTATCCTCAACGACGCGACAGCCTGAGCACTTCCAATGTCAGGTGAGGACCAGTGGCAAGACGCCCTTCAACTGACACACCCCGATGTTGGTCAGGAATGTGCCGCGGAGCCAAGCGTTCCCCTAGGCCCCCTGGCATGCCAGCCTTCCACTCGCTCCGCAACCCTCTTCTCCCACCTGTTCAGTGCTTCCAGGACATCCGAGGGGGCCAGGTTCAACTCGTCCAGGACCACCCAGTCCCCCCTGCGTGCCGCCTGGACCAGCGCTCCCTCTGCAAATACAAGCCGGCCGTGCTCGTCCGACACGTACCGCCCCAAGTACTCCTGGAGGTCGGTGGAGTCATGGTTGTTGATGCGCACGCAAGCGTGCCCCGTGCGGGCGGCCAGATACCCCACCAGCGAGGTCTTGCCACTGGAGGTGGGCCCCTGCAGCAGGATGGGGCAGCGCCGCAGGACCAGCGCCCGCGCCAGGTTCCGCACGTGCGCCCTGACCGCCGGGGTCTCCATGAACACGCGGCCCTGGGCGTCGCGCTCGCGCGACGCCGCCTCGCCGGGCCCCCGCTCCAGCCAGTAACCCTCCACGCAAACGTGGCAGTCGCCCGGGGGCGCGCCGGCAGCGCCCGAGGTGGTCGCGCCGTACCCTGCCCCGCCCAGCAGGTGGGTCTGGATGGCATAGCGCAGGCGCGCCGCGCTGCGCGCCTCCAGCGCAGTGCCGAAGGCCATGTCAAAGCCGTCGGCCAGCGCGCGGAGCGGGCCGTAGCGGGCCGTGGCGGCGCGCACATACTCCAGAGCGCGGCACAGCGTGCGCAGGTTGAAGACGGGGCAGGCCCCGGCGCCGTCCACCAGCCCGCGGTCCGCCTTGGCGGCGCGGTAGAAGGACACCACGCCCTCCACCACGCCACGGGGCGTGGTCTGGCCCAGGTAGGAGGTCACCATGGCGCGCAGGTCCTCCGTCTGGGAGGGCTCGGCGACCCACACCTCGGTGAAATGGTTGCGGAGGGGGGCCGGCAGGTCACGTTTACCTGCGAAGGTGGGGGTAAGGAGGGTATGCTGAGGCATGGTTTAATGCGGGGTCAGGGAGTGTGGGACGACGGGCCATGGTAGAGAAGCATATGGCTGAGAGTGCGCAGAGCGCGGCTGCCCTGCGAGAGCAGACAATGCGGGACCTCAACCCTGCAACAGGTCCACTGCCCACCTGCGTCGGTGGCGGGGTTCATCGCGGCAAAGAGGCGGAAGGCGGGGTGGCGAGGGACCGGTTCAGCATCCCCACGCTCCGCCAGCACCAAACTCCCCCTGGGATCCTGTAGGAGCCCCGCCATCCTTTCCAGGGCCTGCGGGGGTGGGGTAGGACGGTGTCAGACCGGCCAAGTCTGGGGTTATGGCTTGGACTGCTCCTGGTACTGTGGCCAGTGTGCATACTGCTGCAACAGACTCAGACACATCAAAGACTTATGCTGCTGTAGCCATGCAGCCCGAGGACACAACCACCCTTCCTGGGAGCTGGTGGCACTTTGTGCTGATTGACAGCCGCCATCAGATTGAACATAGCAGACACCTCCCTCGCCTCGGACCCCGCACCTCTGGCGGCGCCAGGTTGATCTCGTCCAGCAGCAGCCAGGAGCCCTGTCGCAGTGCCTGCACCAGCGTGCCCTCCATGAACGCAAAGGAGAACCCGCCCTCGGCAGCCAGTAGCGTGGCCTCCGCATGCGCCACGTCCACCGAGAACTTGAGCCAGGCCCGCCGGAGCTCCCGCGCAGGTGTGGATGGTTCGGGAGCAGCAGATTCCGCAAGCTCCGCCCTGCTGGGCGGGCAGGCCACGCCCAGCTTCGCCAGGGCCACCTTGAAGGCCTTGACCAGCCTCCCTGCGTGCCTCTTGGCCGCCAGTCGGGCGACGCGATCGATGAAGGCGCCGTTGTTTCCCGCCGGCCACTGGCGCTGCACCAGGTCCTGGAAGCGCTCGAACAGCGGCAGAGCGGCGTCGGTGGGGCGCACGGGGCGGAAGCCTCCCAGCAGGTCGGAGGCGTCTGTCTGCTGACTCAGGTTGAGCACTGCCAGCGTGGCGCCCGCCTGGATGGAGACACCAGGGGCGAGGGTTAGGGATGTGGAGAGGAGCGCAGTATGCCACACGTGCAAGCAAGGAGGAGGGGTGCAGGCGGCACCGCATACATCCGCAGCGTTCCCCTGAAAGGTATTGCGCGCAGTGGCAGGCGGTGGCTGCTTCACTCCCTCCCCGGCCCTTGCACCCACCTGGCTGGCCAGTTGCTGGACGAGGGTGGTTTTCCCCGTCCCCGTCTCCCCCACCAGCAGGAGAGGCTCATTGCCGGCCGCCGCCACCGCCGCGCGCTCCATCAGCCTTAGCGCCTGCCCGGTGGGCGCGAAGGTGGAGGGCAGGGGGGGGGGCCCGGTTGCCGGGAGCGTGGCGCGGCCCACCGCCAGCGCGGCGCCGGTGCGCGCGAGCGTCGGCCGGGCAGCCAGCGCCGCGTGCTCCACCTCGGCGGGCACGACGCACCAGAGCGTGGAAAGCACGGTGCGCACGGCGCCGGCGTCGTGCTCGTCGGCCAGGAAGCCGGCGAACATGTCGCAGGCCTCCATGCAGGCGGCCAGCCTGAGGCCGGCGGGGAGGCTGTGCAGCGCCGACCCGGCATCCAGGTACCCCGCCGCGACCGGGCTCGTGGCCTGGCGCGTCCCGAGGAGGGACCCCGCCGCCGCCAGGGCGCGGGCGTGGACCGCGCCCATGCGCGCCGCCCAGCGCGCAAGGTCCCGCAGCGAGAAATGTCGGCCCACGCCCTGGAGGGAGGGCAGGCTGCCGTATTCGGCCGGCAGCCAGGAGGGGCACTCGTCGGCCGGCAGCTGGCCATACATGGCCCGCGCCAGGTACAGCATGCGCAGCGCAGTGCCGAGCAGGGTCGGACCCAGGGCCGGATAGAGGGTGCGGAGGATTATCGCCTGATCCTCCTCACCCGGTGCGTCGGCTGCACGAGTAAGGGAAAAGGGAAGTGGGATGACAAGGCTGCTTGTGGCGGTGCAGGGTAGGGTCCTTTCCGAAGAAGTGCCAGCAAGGGTGAGCGGGGGTGCTCCTCGCTGGCATGAGACACCCCAGAAGTAATTGCAGTTTGAACAGGAGACTGTATAAAAGGGTCACAGGGCTCAGAGAGATTCCCACATGAGTTTCTCATCACGGTGTATATCTCAGTTGTCTCTATCTACTGATGTCAAGAGGTTGCATCACTGCCCTGATGCCGGAAAAGCAGGGAACATCCACACACCGCTGACGCAGTCTGGAATTAAATGTAGTCGTTATGCAGCACATCTCTCGTCAGCACCTGTCCCCCAATCTCCCCACCCATCCCTCTCATGCAAGCCCGCCTCCACCTCCACTCCAACCACCCCCTCCCCGCCTCACTCTTCACATGGTGAAACAGTCCTCCCAGCATGTCCATCACCGCGGCTGCTGAGCCGTAGGCGCCCGCCCCCACCCCCTGCGGCGTGGAGGTCACCGTGGCAAACAGCTGGAAGCCGGGGTGGGCGGTCAGGGTCTGGCCCCGCGCGGCGACGTGGAGCTGCCGCCGCTCAGCCAAGGGGATGAGTGCGGCAAGCACCTCCGGCGGGGCCAGGTTGATGTCCTCCACCACCAGCCATCTGCCCTGCGCCACGGCCTGGGTCAGGGGCCCCGCGCGCCACACAAACTCGCCGGGGCGGGCGGTGCAGACGTAGGCTCCCATGAGCCCCTTGCTATCCGTCTGGTCGTCAAGGTGCAGGTGGATGGCGCCAACCGCGCTCCCCGTCACCTCCTCCAGGTGGCGCAGTAGGGTCGACTTGCCGGACCCGGGGGGGCCCTCCAGGAGGACGGAGGAGGCGGCGCAGAGGCCCAGCGCGACGCCGCGCAGCGTGCGCAGCATGCCCGGCGTGGACACCAGGCGGGACGCCGGGAGGGTCGTGGGCGGCGCAGGGCCGGGGCCCGTGGACTGAGGCAGGTCCACGCCCGCAATCCTGACATAGCCGGGGACCGCGAGGGTCGGCTGCGGCCCCGCCTTGCCCCTTGATGCCGGGGACGAGACCCCCTCGTCCCCGGAGAAGCGTTCGCTGCTGCTCGTGTCGGAGTCGGAGCCATCGCCTGCGAGGATGCTACGTGTGGCCTTGCGCTTGCGGCTGGCCGGGCGGGCGCGGCCCCTGTCCCAGGGGGCCAGCGCGGCGGCGGCCTCCACGGCAAACGCAGCCGCCTCCTCCTGCCAGACCCTGCGCTCGGCGGCCAGCTCCTCGGGGGACAGCAGCCGGGCCTCGAGGCCTCTGGCGTCGGCGTCTGCCAGCCCGAGGAGCACCGCGGTCAGGTGGATGCCGGCCCACCTGACCCCGGGGGAGGAGTGGCGCAGGAGCGGGAGGACGGCGGGCCAGGACCAGACGCCTGCCAGGTCCCGGCAGCGTCGGAGGGCGCGCAGCCCTGCACGCGCGGCGTGGGCTGCAGCGCGCCCCTCCATACCGGGGTCTAAGGCGTGGGCCCAGGGGCTGGGCGCGGCGCGCCAGTAAGCCAGCGCAAGCCTTGTGTGTGTGGGGTGGGGAGAAGGGTTGGATGCGGACGGTGTGGGTCCAGAGCCCCGGCTTCAGTGCACCCTGCCCAGCTGTGGGAGGGGGGCGCATCAATAGCAGGTGTGTCCCGCGAGATGCAAGAGCTTGTCAATGTCGGTATCACCATGGCAGTCAGCAATCATCCTCATATCGAGTGCAGGCCTCCAGTACCTGTCCGCATGTGGGGCCAGCTCGAGCACGGAGGCCAGCGCCAGAGACAACTCCAAGCTGGGTCGTGCGGCGTTGCGGCTGTTCAGAACAGCATGGACGAGGGTGCTGATGGCGGCTAGGACGTGCCGCCGGAGGATGGTGATGGCCGGCAAGGTGAGAGCAGGGTCCAGAAGGCACTCCTGCACCGCGGACACTGTGATGCCAGGACGCACATCAGCCGGCTACGGGGAGGGGAGGAATGTGGGTGAAATGTGTAATCGTGCGCTGGCTACCCATCTGTTCAATCACGCGTGTGCCTTCAACACCCCGGGTCACCACCAGCGCACATACCTGGAGCTGGAGCAGGCGGTGCACGGAGGACAGACTGCCGGCGGTGGGGCATCGCACCAACAACCTCTTGAAATCGTCAATCACATCCATTCCAAAAGTATGACAAAGTCAGGTCGCGGGTATGGACCTTCTCCGCGTGGGAGACGCCTTCCGTCGGCGCCGGCAACGCAGGAGTCACCCTGGGCTCTCGCCGACGATGAGCCAGGATGGGGCAATGAAGGGTACAGCTCTTTGATAATAAACCGCAAACTCACAGGGCTTGAATCCAGAAGTGTTGGTGAGGGGCGATGGTGCGAGGTTCTTGCATGCATGGATATCGGGAGCACGGGAACTCTCAGGGCGCGCGAAATGTTCACGGCTGCCTCCGGCCGAAGGGAAAGGGGAAGGATTCCTTGTTACAGACCAACCTCCACTCAGATTGTGAATGCGTTGCCTGGATCCGGAAGCAGGCTGCAGCGATGCCAATATGGATTCTGGCATCGAGACCGGGATTTAGAGCGCCAGCCCCTGCACCACAATATGCCACACTCGACAGCACGACGAATCTATATCATATCCCCACAGCTCACATCCAGCAACTCCATTGGCATACCCAGACGATCTCGCATCAGCTCAATTGAAAGGGGCTGAGTACATGTTCGGCGCGCTCCTCCTTACTTTGTCCGCTGAGTGCTGTCCCTGGTGTGGTCCATGTCTCCGACACTCTTTCGGCGCTCAGGAAGGTGTACAATACAAAATCTCTTTCTGGGAGTGTATTCTTCTGGGCCCTCCAGTGATAAATGCCACATTGTTGCCGTGTCTAGTGTATCAAGGGGACATCTTTTGGATCAGTGGTTTTCATCTCCTCATTGACTGCTGTGCAAAGCGTAACTCTTCCGGAAATCCAGATGACCGACCGTCGTCCATTGCAGAATCCACCACCGAAACCTGCAATTCGTATTCTTCCTGAAACCCATCGAGAACATTGAACCAGGCCTCCTTGCCCCTTCGCAATGACGCAATAGTGACTTAGCATCGGCTACATGTCAGATGGCGTCCAGCCACCACCACTGCCAGGGGTGCGTCGCGGCCTCAAATTGGCATCTTCGACCTATTTACTTGCAAAATACTGAATACTTTCGGTGTTTGGCACGACTGTCCCCGTGATTCGCTGAGCCCGGTCGTTCGGTTCCGACGGGAGTTACACACGGTGGAGCACTTTACAACCCCGTTGCATTGGGACCGCCGTCACTGTACGCACAGCTTATGATACATACTGACACAGAATTCTTCGACACTTCACAATGTACCCGTCCAATCAGAGAAGCGGGAGCCGGTGGGTCTGAGAGCTGGCAAGCACCCCTGGACCAGGAACCCTCAGCGTCCCAGACGGCGCCCACTGCAAGTAGTTCCCAGGACACCCCTCGCACAGCCTGCATCAACTGGAACCTTGAAAAGGTGCGGTGTGTTGCAACCTTTAGTGTGCGACCAATGTCTTGAGTTCAACACTCGTAATACATTGCGCACTTTGATGTGCAGGTGACGTCATTGGACATGGAGGAGTGTCAGCACAGACAGGCAGGCACAGGCCTCAACAATCGCTCAGGATATAGAGGAGTGAGAAAGGTGAGTCAGTGACGACGTCAAAGTGTTGCAGACACAGCTCTCGACTCCATGTGTGATTTTCATTCTTGTCGGTCTTGCTTCACATTTGGACGCTTTTCACAGAGGCCATGGGGGAAGTGGGCAGCTGAGATTCGAGACCCACATCGCCCTACACGACGTTGGCTGGGCACCTTTGACGTCCCTGCAGAGGTGAAGCCTCATTGCATTGCTCTAGCCATGTCCAGGGTTTGCTCTCAATGGAAACGAATGGTTGTGATGGCGTAAGGCCATCAAGCTCTTCCAGAATATATCCTTGCCCATCCAAGTGGGACTCGGATACAATTACTCCAACACAGACATGATGCTTAAAATTCCCAATACTGCAGGCAGCCCGCGCCTACGATGCTGCTGCAGTGGCCATTCGGGGACCCAATGCCCGTACTAATTTTATCTACCCATTCGAGCTGCACTCCATACCACCGCAACCCAGTCCTGCCAAGGTAAGGGTTGTAAGGTGGGAATCAGAGGCCTCTTCCCCATTCTGCAGCTAATCTACCTGATGGCAAGACAATTTAAAAGGCTTTCCTGTACGTGGTTAACCAGTCTTCTCTTCCCCGTCACCCCTTCCCCTCTCAACGAATTCATTCCCCCCCTTAGAGTGCCGAAGTGAAGCGTCCTACGAGTGAGCCTGCTACCAGGACACCCGGCGCGAGCTCATCCCAACCCCAGCCAGTCGTCCTGGGAGCGGCACCCTTTGGTGTCGAGCTGATGGGCAGCTCCCTTCCCTTCCTCTTTACACAGCACCCTGCAATACAGTCCTATCCACAGCAGCATCAACCCGTGGCTGCTTGGAACCAGCCTGCAGTGCCTGCACATCAGCTGCTATCCTCCCTGCCGCAAGTGCTTGGGACAAGCTTTCATGTGGCCGCCCCGACCCTCAAGCCTGCAGTCCCTGCAACCTTGGCCCCTCACTCGGTGGGGCTCCACCGAGGAGCACAGGGCTCTGCGCATGTCATCTGTTACATGAACTGGGAAGCCCCTGCCTCCCGGCGATGTACCCGGCTTAAAGACCGAGTGCCGTCAGCAACACTCAGGCACATCAACCTTGTACCCCTGTCACGCAGGGTGCAGTGGCGCTCCCCACCCCTCCAGCACCCAGGCCCGCATCTTTCACGAGTCCCACTGCACACTTCACGAACGAGGATGTCCTCTTGATTGGAACCGACTTGGTGAGGTGGCCTCGAGGCTTGGGAAATTCCTGTCCAAAATGCTCTCTTCAAGTCTACATGAGCACCTGATCATAAATCTTCCCAGACATTGAGATCTCCCCCTTTCTCTGCAGAGTTTCCTCTTACCCAAGTCCGAGCAATGTCTGGCTTCCAAGATTCCTCCGTGTGTATTGATGCTATGATGTTTGGGGGGCGTTCTGTGATGCCTGCATCAGGGAGTGAACCTCTGGGAAGGGCCGTCGCACGCTTGCTCTCGGGCAGCTCATGTGGGTTGCTCATGGGCTCAGCCATGCTCCCACACGATCCCACATCCAGAGGCTTCCTGAGTGGACAGGGAGATTGCCCTCAGCGAGCACAAATCCCATCCGTCCAATCTGAGAATTGCTTTACACCTGGTTGGTCTGGAGCTGGCAGTGTCAGCATCCAGGATGCTCAGACCTGTGTTCTGGCATGCATGCCCCAGCAGTCGAGCAGACTGAGTTCAGAGCAGAGCGAGTTTTCATCCTTGGCCATCAGAGATCCGGGATCACAGGTACATGTTGATGGCCTGGGGGGGATCTGCTACCGAGGCTTGAGGAAACCCGAAACTTCCTTTTCCTGGTTGTCAGTGTGCTGCCCCATGCCATTGCAAAACTTGAGGCTCCTGGCCGCATGCACTTCCATTGCTACAGCAGCTGCTAGCGGTGACTCCTGAGCTACAAAATATCAGCGAGCAACTAGACTGGCTGCTAGCCCATCCACCGGGAGAGAAGGGGCAGCACTAAGGTGCCACAGGGATAGTGGTTAGATGTGGTGCAAGGGGCTGCACAGTAAAATTTACATGAATATGTCCGGATCCTGGCAACACCGATGGACCAAGCTAACCATCTCAACCCCCCGGCAGTTTTGGTGGCATGGCTCCCCAGAGCCGAGTGCTGACGGAGGCCACTGCATGTGGATGCAGCAAGGCAAGTCAGATCTCGCGCCCGGACCGTGCCGGCGTGCCATAGCGATGGAATGCCTGTAATCGAATGGATGTCACGACGACAATATCGACTCTGAAGCCTGTACAAAATAAATGAAGAGTGATGCCTTTCGAGCGCCCTCGCATTGCCTAAGAGGGCAGTGACCTGCGGGGGGGGCCGGTCTAACACCACGACCTGATCTGTACTGGACCGCAGTTCCAAGCACAGGCCAAGTGGCAAGGCAACAAAATGTACAGCGACAAGATAGAACGCAAATTGCGGCCCATCTTCGATGCCGTGGAGTGTCATCAATACAAGGCATGTACGAGTCCCTGGACAGGCTGCATATGGCACCACCCTCTTCACACGGTTGAGGACCATCGACACAGCACACTGTCCTCCACATGCAGGCTGGCAACAAACTCATCGATGCCGCCTTGAAAAAGTTGGGTCAGAATCAGATGCTGCTAGCCCTGAAAGCTTACTCACTCATCAAGCTGGAGTATTTGGCAGATGGTCTGCAGGTACTGAGAAGAAGCGATGCGCGATGCTTGCTCGGAGCTGATCGACGCAGTTGCACATGTGGGCTTTCTCAATGAAAGCGAGGCTTGCAGTTCAGGTCAACCTCACCACGATGTGCAGATCCTGGAGGACATTGTCAAGGAGGGACCAGAGAGCGACCGGGTGCTGTCGATCATGGCATACGCATATAAAGACGCAGACAGGTGCTGTCGGTGGTGGAGGCATGGAGCTTTGTTGACTCCGAACTCTTGGAGCCTGTCCGCTGTCCCTGCAGCAGATCTGTCCGAGTGCTTGCTTGAGCAGGTTGGAGGGCACCCTGTCGGCCTACATAGTAGCTGTTCGAGCACATCCAGGGGACGAGGAGATGCTGAAGGGATTGTTTGGGGCGTATGTCAGGTATGCAGGTCCCCTGCAAGCTTGGATGTCATGGAGAGACCAAAGCCACCACTCCTCAGTGGCAGTGTGTGTTCATGGTTTGACCAGTACTGGCGGTGGTGGCAAGTTGCAGTTGATTGGGCTGGGAATTTCCCCGCGAGGGGCAGCAGACTCAATTCAGGGAATGCACACACCCCACTCATTGATTTCCAGTGCGGGCGACTTCACCAAGCAGCAAGCCACTGCCCTGCAGCTCATCAAGCTGAGCCCTGATGCTGTGAACTACCTCTGGTGGGCAGCTGTGTCAGCAGCCATGCAGGCCAGAGCCTCGATACAGGGTGAGGGAGCACACTTTGGTGACAAGCCGCATCAAGTGTCCACAATCTCTCCCGGAAAACTCAGCCACACACAGTGCCTCACTCATGCTCCTGACCCTATCCACACTATGTCCCATCGCAGGCCAGGCATCAGCGCTGCCCACTGCAAGTCTGCTCACCCTGGCAGGGCGGCTCATGGACCGAGCCCTAGACAGGACCCCACCGAGTGCCTTTACCTTTGAGATGCTGCTGGTGGTGCTTGATGTGCTGCTGGCCTCTGGACAGCATGCCCGGGCGGCGGCGCTGCTGGAGGGCTCCCGGGCGCGCAAGGCATGCACCTCCCCGACTGACCTCTCCTTCCTCTGCGCCGCCGTGGCTGCTGGTGCCAGGGAGCAAGAGGCGGCGGCCCGGCGCTGCCGCGAAGTGCTCGCTGTCTCCCCTCATGACTGGGCGGCGGCGCGCCTCTGCCTCGACTGCCTGCTGGCCCAGGGATGGAGCGGCAGAACCCTGCGCTGCCGGTGGCCTGTGTGGGTGGTGGGTGGCCTGACGGACACGATGCTGGAGCGGGAGCATGGCAGCCAGGAGGATCAAACGGCGCCTGAGCCCCTGGGCGAGGTGCAGAGGCGGGTACTGGCGGACTGGTCGGACGAGTGGGGCTCCAATCTCCCGCCTCCTGATTGTAGCGGGAGTGCAAGCCCAGGTCCACTTCTTCGTGCCACTCATTTGGCCCTTTTGGATGGCTTAGCGCGGGGTCTCACAGCGAGACATGCGGAGCAGGTCAGCACGGAAGCTTCCGGGCCGGCTGACAAGGATTTGGCCAAGCAAACTTCGTCGGCCTTCCGTGCGCTGAGTACCCTGGGGAATGTTGTCCTGGATCTTGGTCCATACTTGGCCATGCTTGGGGGTGCAGAGGCCCAGTCCCTCGCTGACGAGGCAAAGGCGATTGGCGAGGAGCTCTGGGCCAACTCTTGTGGAGCAGGGAACACAGGTACGAGGACAGGGGGCTGGGGACCGATGACTGCCAGAGAGACTTGCGATTCAGATGAGCATCATGAGCGCCATGATGGTGCAGGCACACAATCACACAACAGCATGTTTGGTAAGCCATCAGCCTGTTCCCACAGACAAGAGGACTCAGGAAGCAGGACTCCAGGCGCTCAGCAACGGCTACCAGGTGGGGTGTGGAATGTTGGGGCCTACCCTGCGTTGAAGACACCGAAAAGATGTGGTCTTACAGGAGAGGCATCAATGTTGCAATGCTAGTGCAGACTCGTATCATGCTAGCTTACCCACTGAAATCATCAACTGAACGGCATAACAAACAAGAAAAAACTGAGCATCCATCGTCCAAGTCATGTCATGCCTCTCATTGCACAGGTGGAGTTTGAGCTGGGCCTACCAAGGCACACAAGCGGGGACCAAGCTCGAGGCGCTGCTGCTGCTCTCTTGACCACATACGCCGCAGCTCTGCCCCTTTCAGGTGAGCCAGAGTGGAACGGTGGCTGCTCCTGTGCCATGTGCAAGCTCCAGTGACCAGAATGGTGTCGCATTGTCAGCCTGTTCTGGGTGGCCATGCCCAGGTCAGCCTCGGCCATCAGACCTCAAGCCATCCCCACACTGCAGCTGGGCTGGACGCCAAGCAAAGGGGTCACGGTGAGGACCTGGTCACCCTCGCAGTGACGCGCCTGCTCCAGGGTCATGCGCTGGACCTGCATGGCCTGCTGCCGAGCGCCCTCTTCGTGTTGGAGGCGGCGCAGGCGACACGCACCTCATCGGCACCCCTCCGGCTCCACGCTGCCGCGTTGTATGCCCTGCTTGGGTGCCCCAGGGCAGCTGCCATGCAGCTGGAGGCTCTGGGCGTGAAGCAGATTTTGCATGACAGCATGACTGCGCACTGGCTCCTGCCTGCCCTGCTCGACTCGGGAGCCACTGCAGCAGCTGGAGAGGCGCTGGACACGTGGGTCTGGCTTGGCTGTTGGACTGCGCTTGCCCTCGTTTTATTCCTTCTGTCGCCTGTTGGGCGGAAGTGTGCGAAGGCATGCCGGGTGTCGGTGAGCCTTCGCTGCTCCCTGTCCTGGAGTGCAGGTTTCTGAAGGCCGTGCTCCTCCTGCATGATGGGCACCGGAAGGACTCAGGCGAGACACTGATTGCTGCATTCCAGCACGGGTCGTACTCCAAGGTCGGTGGCTGGAAGCGTCCTGAGTCTCACTCTGTCATATGCAGCAGGAAGTGCACAGATGCTGGCAATGGCTGCCTCGTACCACACATGCCAGTCTCGCACCAACGCGTACTCTGGCCTTGATACTGCTGAGCCGCTGGTCCTTGTTATGTGTTGCTTGTTCCCTTACCACATCCCAGCAGCCCTACCCTTGCAGGTCGCCGAGTTTGTGAGTTTCAAAGAGAGGCTTGCAGCCTCCCATGCCCTCCATGTGGTGCGGGCAGAGGAAGCTATCCGGAAGCTGAGGCTCCTGGCCTCCTCCCCTGTATCACCCCACACCCTCATCAAGGCGGCACGACATCTCGAGGTGGGTGGCTTGCCCCCGGCACGGCTACTGACCTGTGGGCTGTGCCACCGTCCCTGCCTGCCCTGCATCAATGGCTTTTCGGCACCTCGCACATTACACCGCTGCATCTCAAATGCCCGCAGGAGCAGGCACCTCCCCTGCCGACACGCATCAGCTTCAACGAGGACCTGGGCACACGGCCAGCCTGGTTCCCGCCCGGTGCGACCTCCGCCTCCGAACTTGGGCCGGCACTGGCTTTGCGGCCCTGTGGGCTGTGGTGGCGAGCGCCATCGGCTGCCTCCAGGGCCACCTGTGCCGAGGCTCAGGCCTGGCGGAGCGCCCAGAGGGCCAAGCTAGAGTGGCGACGGGGCCTGCCACGCATGCTGGCGGCTGCTCTGGATGGAGCAGGCCCAGATGCAGGCTCAGAGGATGCAGAGGGCGACAGCGGTCTGCCTGCGGACCCAGCCGGAATTGGGGATGGCGAATACGCCCACGGCATCTGGGAGGTGCTGATGCCCGCTGCCAGAGCCTGCTGGGCAGCCCTGCGCTGCGAAGCGGGCACTGAGGCTCCCAAGTGCGCGGCGGCTCCACCGGCCTGTGCTGCACTGAGCGCCGTGATCTCCTGGCTCCAGGTGCGATTCAGTGCCTGGTCTGACCGCCTGGAGGTCGCGCAGCAGGGTCTTGTCAATGACCCGCTCCTGCACCTATCTCTGGCGATCTCTGGCGGTCACGCCCGGTTTGTGGCGGAGGAGGCCCTCTGGGCAGCCCACGCCCTCAAGGTACGGATTTAGGGGACTGCACCCTTCTTGCAGTGGCTGCAACGCAGCGATTTGATTGCAACAGTACCCATCAACGTTGCATTCATTGCAGTGCATTGTACTGAGAAGTAGTGAGCTGCTGAGCCGGAGTGCCAAGCCCATCGTGTGTCTATCCCTGCCGCCTAACATAGTGTGCAAGTTGCTGGCTCATCACCCACTGTTGACCTGCCACCTTCAACCCTCGCTGCCATTGCAGGCGTGGCTAGCTGCGGCGGGCGGAGCACAAGGGGCGAGCGATGGGAACTTAGACATGTGTGCCGACATCCAGCGTGCCCTCTCCTGCCTACGTGAGGGTTTGGGGTCCCTGAGGGAGGTGCTGGAGGCGTTGAGCCTGGCTGCAGCCCAGCTGCCGGATGCCTATGATCTGGCGGGGGCAGATGCCAAGCTCTGGGGCTTTGCACCAGGGTATGATGCTCGGCTGGTGCATGACACTACGGTGGCGGAGCAGCGGCAAGGGCTCGAGCAGCTGCAGGCTCAGGCCGCGAGCGTACTGCGCATCCTCGACTGACTCGCAGGGGGTGGTGTTGTGTAAGGCGGAATGCAATTTCAGGTGCAGCACATGGGCTGCAGGGCAGGAAGAATTGTCGAGTCGGGAATCAGCCGAGGGAGTGCTAGGGAGAGGGTCGGTGAGGCATGAAGCTTGGTCTGTGCAATCGCGGCATGGCCGTGCATGCCAAGCAGCCTCTGGAGTATGTCGCGAGGGAGTTGGCTGGTCCAGCTCGAAGCCCTGTAATTCTGAAGCGCAGCAGAGGGCATGCTCCTCATTCGCGCTGGCAAGACCGCCCCCCGCGGCCTCACTCGCGCAGCTTCGCCCCCCGCACCCGCCTGTGCGTCATGGTGAGCAGCGCCAGCAGGGCGGACAGCGGCTGGGTGACGGCTACCTTCCCGCAGGCCACGCCCACGGCCAGCCGGTCGGCGTAGGGCTGCACCATGCGCCGAGTGGCGGGGTCCAGACCCAGCACGGCCAGCACCACGCCGGCGTCGAAGCGGGCCTGGCGCACCAGGATAGACCTGGGAAGGGGGGGGGGGGGGGGGGGGGGGGGCGAGGCGTGCGTCGGGACGAGACGACTTTGGGTGACGGAGGAGGCCCACAACCGCGCTTTTGCCTTCAGCGACCCCTTCATCATGCGTGTGCGGGAGGGCGAGACCGTGGGCGAGCTGCGGCGCCGCGTGCAGGTCGCGCTGGGGGTCGGCGATGAGGAGTTTGCGGGCTGGCGCGCGCTGCTGTGCCCGCCGCTGTCGGCCCCGGAGCCGCTGGAGGACGAGGAGGGGGTGACCGCGCGCCTGGCGCGCGCAGACCTGGAGCGCCTGTACGGCCACCACGACCGCGCCTGCATCGGGTGGGAGCACGAGAACCGGAACCCGCGCAAGACGCACGCACACCTCAACCGCAACGCGGCCTGGTACGGGCAGGAGCGCCAGCTCAAGATCAAGGCCTGAGGTGCGGGCGGGAGCGGTGCGGGGGGAGGGCCGCGCATGCCACACGCGGCGTGGCCGACCATGGCCCAGCCCCTCTGCAGTGTGCTGACTGCGTGCTCTCAGGGCAATGCCCGGCACGCCGGCTGTAAGGCCGTTGATATATAGATCGCCGCGGACTGGTGCAGGTCTGTAGGATCTAAAAAGGGGGGGGGGGGGGGGAAGGG